TCATGCCAGTTCAGTTTACTATTTTGTTTGTTAAAAGCAAAATTCAGCTGTATTATCATAATTGAAATATCTTCATCTCCTGTTTCAGGTAATGGGAGGTCTGGATGGAGACATGTTCAACTATTACAAGATGCTAATGCTCCAAGGCCTCATCGCTGCACGCAAGCACATGGAGAAGGTCATCCAGATTGTAGAAATCATGCAGCAAGGTACCGTTCATTTGAACCTTTTCCTTTCATTAAACTTCCTTTTCAACATCTGATGATGAGCTTCCATAAAGGTTATTGCACACTGAATCTGAAATTTTCGTCTCTAATTTTGGCAGAGTAAAAAAAAAAACAAATCGACCTCACGTTGTCTCTGAAACCTTCGTCTATCATAATTTTTTTTCGCATTTGACAAAACGTTTTAAGAGTTGTTTTGACAGTTCAAAGCCACCGTACAAGTGAAAAGCTAAATACAGAATGCCGTCGTTTGAGCTAACAGATTACAAACACAGTACACAAAATCAAGACAGAATGTGGTAGACAGTTGAGCACCCCTATATGCTGGATTCAGTGACTGCACAACACTGCCCTGCAGAGGTTTTGTGCGTGCGTGCGTGCATCTCCATAAATTTGAAGTACTGCCCATAGACATTATAATAGAAAGCACTGTCCGCTTTCGGTCCATTGCTTCGACATGTCAGCAGGGCCACCGTCTATTATAATGTCTATAGGTACTCCCAGTCTCTGTTCAGGCTTTGTTTACATACGTGAATGTGTGTAGTATCACAAGCATTGGATCAAAACTACACTGATTTCCTGAAATAAACTCCAGCATAATCATGGTGCAGCTCTTTGAGAATGAGCTGAACTCTCCTTCCTCTCTATGTAGCCTATTAAATGATCACAATATGTCACATATTCCTCTATTCTTTTTCTATTTTGGAGAAGAGAGGAGAACAAAGCATCACTGCTTAAACTGACTTTTTTTCTGATGTTTTCTCGTTATGGAATAATTAATACACATTGGACTCAGTGTGCAAGGTTTGTTTACGTCACAAATGTTTCGAATTTGTATACGAAAAAAAAAACGCATATAAAAGACCTTAACAGTCCGTGTGTCCTGCAGGTTCACAGCTCCCCTGCTTCCATGGCTCCAGCACTATCCGCAACCTGAAGGAGCGATTCCACATGAACCTGACGGAGGAGCAGCTGCAGGTGCTGGTGGAGCAGATGGTGGACGGCTCCATGCGCTCCATCACTACCAAACTGTACGACGGCTTCCAGTATCTGACCAACGGTATCATGTGAGAGAGGACTGGAGAGTTTAAAACTGGAAGAGAGAGAGAGAGAGAGAGAGAGAGAGAGAGAGAAAAAAAAAAGGCTGCACCACTTTAAATACCACTCCCTTAAGCACCCGTTTCTACACCTGTCAGACTGATTAGATCTCTAATGATGGATTATTTTTGTTAGTTTTTTTATCCTGACTGAAGAGAGCTGTGAAGTTACTGTTTGTCGTCTTTTTCATCAGCCTTTCTTTTCGTTTAAACCCTTCTCTTTTTGGTTTTTGTCATGTTGTCTTGCAGTACTCTGGATGCCCAGAGATGAGTTTTATCCAGCTGTCCAGTGCCTCATTTAAACACTAAGCTGCTTTGTGACTTCTGGTTTTACTCTCACCTGTGTACTGACCGACTTCAACACCCCATAATATCATCATCATCATCATCATCTGCTTTCTTTTTTGTTGGCATACCACTAATGCTATGTGTACACTTTGGATGAATAACATTCAAAAATTCAACATTGAGACAGGAAACAGGGGATGCTGAATCAAAGCCTGTAAATTGCATTATGTACCGAGGGAATCGGGTGGTAAACGCTGCTGCGTTGTTCAGCTTTGTGAAGTCAGTATTACGTGAACCATTTGAGATATTCAGCCTAGTGCTGTACAATTATGAGACTGTCAAGTCATGAAATGCTCACTCAAAGTGCTCTCGTTCACCCCTGTGATGAGCACTTTTATGCTGTTATGGGGTCAATGAAGCGTTTTTTTAATCCAGTATGGATGTGTTAATCGTCAAAACACCAAAGACAGACCATTGACGGCACCGATCACATGAGAGTTTTAATCTTCGGCTGATACAGAAGATAATTAGGACCTAATAAAAAGATCTCGGTCTGTTTTCTAGGTCAAAATAAATGTATAAAGAAACTGTTTTGAGTTTCCAAAGGTCTGGACTGAAATGCGTTGGACTGAGAGATATGCACACACTATTTATTGCCCCTTTTACACAGATATGTCATATACTTACACTCTCAACTTGTCTTCTGTGGATTTCATTTCACTTTGTTGTTTTGTTCAGCGCAGATTGTACAGCTAACCTGAACTGTAATGTGCATCTTTACAGCTGACCTCAATCTGAGGTGGGCAGCCATGTTTAATTGTGACTGTGAGCCACTGGAGTTTTTGTTTTTTTACTAACTAAACAGAGAGAAGTTGTTTAGAATCTGCTGCACAGGAGAAACGGAAAGGGCTATGACAAACAAAATCTACACATTAAGTCTTGTTTTTATTTCCTACACATGTACAGGTATAAAAAAATAACTTCTTCTTTTTTATTATTATTATTTTATTATTATTATTTTCGTTAATTTGATAGAAGTTGAGGTGTGTGATGAGCCTCGTCTTATTTCCCTGTGATCTCAGTGCTTCTCTTAATAGTTTTAATTTAGCTTCTTTCAGCAGAAGCTATGATTTCCTTTCATTTGTTTGCCCGTGCGAGGGCAATTTAGATGACTTGTATGTTTCCAACAGCTTAACTTTTCTCTTTACTGTTTTATACTTCTATGGTTTCAGAGTCAAACTTTCCTTTTGAAACTTGTAAAATGGACCAGCTCTTAAGATCATGTGAATAACCTTCCTTGTGAATGTTCCTTTGTATAATAAATTAAATGTTCCCGTTCCACAGCTTGTATATTTCAAGCTTTTCAGAACCGTATGTGTGAGTGTGTGTGGTACCATCATATACAATAACTAGTAATAAATAATATTATTTAGTTAAATATAACGAACTATAAATTGTTTATAAATAATGTATCATATTTACTAATTGTTAGAATTGTGTTACATTAGAAATAAGTAGATCTTTACTGCATAAGCAAATGTTCTTCAGACGAGCATTTTAAAGTGCTTTATATATGCTTTTGACTCTCCTAAAGCATAAAAATGCCATAATATGTTTGCAAATATTTAAGAAACATGCGTGAACATTCTTGTTTATCTGAAAAACAATACTGAAGTCAGTTATTCCGCTTTGAGTCATCCGTGACCGAAATGCGACTTCCAGTGGACCGTAGCAGACTCTGAAATGAGACGCAGATTCAGAGTTCCACATGAGGTGATTAATTAGCTAATTATAGAAATATTATGAGCATAAACATTAGGTGAGCAGGCTGCATTGTAATCCCTTGTCCTAACAACACGCTATATGATGAGATTTGCAGTATTCTGACCAGTTGACATTTTCCAACGCAATCTCACGGCAATTTGTAACTTTTTAATTTAGTGGCTAATTTATATGAATTGGTACAATCTAATTTGTACAATTTAGTACGATTTGCTCATCCAATGGCGGTTGGGTTTAGGGGTGGCGTTGAGTGCCACGCCTCCTTTTTAAAATCTTTCATTTTCATACGACTGAACATGGCTACTAAACTTACAAAATGTAAAATACCTACATTTCTCATGAGATCAGGCTGCATTTGCAGACTTTTTTTTTGTTGTCAAACCTTTTTTATATATATATATATATATATATATATATATATATATATATATATATAATGGTTATTTTTATTTACAACCTGTAAAGTTCTGGGTCAAATTAATAAAGTGCCCAAACGTTTTTTAATGAAGGGCCAAAATCCCAGTTTGGTTGAGAGCTGTGGGCTAAAAGCAAATATAGCAAACTGTATTACATTAAAGTGGCCATGGGTAATTTCCTCATTTGTTTCATAATATTTCAAAAAAATTTTAAATATATAATAATTTAACAAAATTATCACAATAATTTTTTTTTAAAAATCCATTTCTAAAACACTGGAGTTCAATGTCGAACACACTAGTCACCTGCCTTTGCCTTAAATTTGCACACTGATGTCTTCTGATTTGACCCCTATTCGCCTAGTGACAGTATGTATTTATTTTTTAATATTTTTTAGAAATCTGATTCATTTACAACGTTTAAGTGAAACTTATTAATTGCATTTTTTCGTAGCTCAACAAACCAAAGGTTACATGAAATAGAAATGACAATCTCTGTTAAAGGCATTCCCTAACCCTTCCCAATCATTTTCCCTCTGGTGGGCCATATCAAAGGATAAAAGTGCCAACTTTGGCCTGCGAGCCCTAGTTTGGGCATCACTGCACTAGATTCAGGGCTTGCCCATCGTCAATAAACATCTTTTTTTTTTCAAACTGAACTTACAAACAAAATGGTACATACTTACAATAGTGATTAAGTAAAGTCATCCCAGGTTGAGTTATTTAGAATATAGACCATTTCAATGTGGTCATCATGTCGTTGGTTCAGGAACATTTCCTGCTTGTTAACTCATATTATAACTGTAACAAGAGGCAATTCAATCATAACGTAATTTTTAAAAAGCTGCCATAACATCATTTATCATTGTGTGGCTCTTTTTTAGTTCTTTGAAGCTATAGAAAGTAAAAAAAAAAAAAAAGTCAAATAGGAAGTACGTTGGAACCATTATTTTCGTTTACATTCCTCAAAATGGTCTATAGCCCCATAGGCAACACAATATTCAGCTAACAAGAATAAACCGTCAATATAAACACCAGTAGAGTAGAGGATGAATGAGTTGAGTTCGTTGGCTCGCTATAGAGGCTGGTTTGTAGTGTGCTGTGATTACCTGTCCTGCAGGTAAATCCATTCAGGCTCGTGTGGTGGCGCCGTTATGTGCAAGTATCTGCGATTCCTTCCGCAAAAGAAAGAAGGAAAAACTCGGCGATACCTGTCTCCACTTGCCGTTGCATGGACAACACCCGTGAAGCCAAATATTCAATCGCTTCACGACACATGAAACGCTACATGCAGACTCGTTTTGGATAAAACTATGAAACTGGAAAGGTTGTAGGTGCAATATCAGATGGACGACTAGTTTAATTCTGGAGTTTCACCTGAAGCCGAAAGAGTTCCTCGAAGAGTTTCACACGGGACTCAAAAGTTTGTCAAGGTGTGATACAGGAAGTACGTCTAAATCATCATGGTGAGTGCTTTTAAAACTTGATACAATCCATTGAAGTGATCTGGGGCCTGTTTCAGTAAGGAGGTTCAAACAACTCAGAGTTTAAATTTGAACTCTGAGTTGATTTACCGAGAGATTAAAAACCCAGAGTTTTCGGTTTCAGAACAGCTGATCTGAGTTGGGTCAATCAACTTCGAGTAGACCAACTCAGAGTTAAGCGCGCACACCGTGACTTTAAAAAGGCATTATCAATGGAGCGTAGACATTACGAGTGACTATGGCAATATCTTATAAAAGAGATCACCATTTCTTTCTCCAGCTGAACTTGATGTTCTCATGCAAAGTTATAGCAAATATGAGTGTGTATATATTTGAAAAGAAACAACCATCAGTGAAGAAGAGACAGTTAGCGTGGGAAAACAGCTGCTCAAGTTAATGCCTAATTTAACTTTTTAAGTATTTAAATATTTAAGTATAATAAAATAAGTAATGTAATTTGTGACGTTTATATTTTTTTTCTAAACTTTTTTATACATTTATTAGTTTTAAATGATTTAACAGTGCACTTGTGTGTCTGCCTTTTTTATTGATCAAGTGATAGAGGTTAATATAACATTTAGAAGGTAAGCAGTACTAAAAATATTTTTTAGAAAGAATAATAATCCCATTAATCTAGTTACAGTGCATGTCGAAGGTGAATTTAATTTAATTATTTATTAAAAAAGGATAAGTCATTCTAGTACAGTTCTTCTGTGTGTGACTAAAATGTAGGCAATAGCTATGTTTCCATCCAAATATATTACATAAATTTATGTGCAAAACTGGCATATTGCATAAAAGATGCGAATAAAATTCCATCCAACGAGTCAAAGAGAAAAAAATCGTCACTTCCTGATTAAACTGGCACCAAATATCAACAGTAAAAACAGAATTTACTGTGGTAGAAGAAGCTGCGTCAATTAATTCTTTATTTAGCCTAATTAATGTACTTGCGCCTCGATGTCAGAAGACAATGCTGAAACACAATGAACACGTGGGGGCGTCTGAAGCCATGAGACGCGGAGACTCTTGACACGCACCAGACGTTCAGAGGTAATAATAATATACACTAATACTGAAACAGTTAAGGCATTTTAGAATGACTAAAACAATATTTAAGACATGTTACAGTGTGCTCAGCTTGCTGGTTTGTCCATTTACACACATTTTCATTATCATATGATCATGATCTTTTTTTTAATGTACATACTGTAATTTGTTTAGTAAAAGTGTTTCCATCGTAGTTTATGCACACATTTTCTATCGAATAAAAGTTTATCCTACTCAGTTATGCGCGTTTTTTTATGCATATTTTAAAAAGTTATGTGCATCATGACATTTCTATCAATCGTTTTTATGCACGTATCCAAAATGAGCATAAAAATAGGTGTGTGGAAATGTAAGGCTAAGGCGAGAAATGCCGCTTCATCTTTAAAAAAGGGGAGGAGACAGACAGAAACTCTGAGTTTAGAGAATAAAACCTGCTTCTGACCAGGTTAGATTCACAGAGTAAGTTACCACAGTAACTGACTCTGAGTTAAAGTTACCTTTCTTTCAGAAACAGGCTTGACTTACCCTGCTTTCTCGAGTTTAACAAACCTGCCATTTTGAAACGGAAAACCCAGAGTTTCTCTCATTTCAGGGTTAAAATACTCTGAGTTTTCAGTTAACCTCCTTTCTGAAACAGGCCCCTGGAAATGTAGTTAATAACCTTTTAAGAAACGCAGCTGGCTCTAAATACCTAAATGTTTACAAAGTTATGATTGTTCGATAGATACTGATACAACATGAAGGCTGCGCTTTTGTTGCCCACGTATTTAATTATTGACAAAATAACAAACTATACTTTCTTCTAAAATCACTATAATTTTTTGCTAGGAATATTTAAAATTATGATTAGTCTTTTTTTCTTCCAAAATAAATAAATTAATTAAGATTTTGGTGGAAGGTATTTAGCTATGATTTTGAAAAAAAAAATGTAAATAAAAACTGCGGGGTTTTAACAGGTTGAAGTATATCTACATTTAAACATATGCTGGCTTTTGTCAGGTTTAAGGATCAAGTATATTTTAAAAGTCTTTATTATGTATTTTAGACATTTACTTATAACTAATATTTACAAATTGCTGCAAATTTAATCACTTGTCCAGTTAAAATGTTAAATTAGGGCATCAGCGGGGTCTGAAAAAGTCCTGAAATGTCTTAAATCTCAAAAGCTAAATTTTAGGCATTAAAAAGTCTTAAATCTATTGAAATGTTTTAGTTCTTGAATCTTTTTTTTAACAGGTCTTAAAGTTTTTTACCCAAATCTGGCCAATTACACCCATACAATCACCAACTATCCATCTTAATAAAACTTATAACTTTAATTAAAAATAGCATTTAATTAATTCCCTTACAGTTTATTTGCTTAACATTTCTTTATTTATTTACTGCTGAAGAAACTGACCTGACCTAGGTTTTGTATTATCAGATTATCATCATTGTAGACTAAAGTAATAGACAGCTATGTTTTGTTCTATTCTTGATAAGGGTTATAGGGTTTGTGAATGGATGTGTTTGAAAAATTATTAATAAAAAATATATTCAAACAAAATTATTATTATTGCATTATTAAATGTAGTACATTTTAATAATTGTTTTGATAGGACAAATGAAAATATTTTCTACCTGGCATAGTTGAAACAAAATCCATAGTATTTAGTCCGGTATAAGTCTAAAATTTAATTTATGATGGTCTTAAAAAATCTTAAATTTAGCTTGGTGAAACCAGGAGAAATCCTGGAAAAGATCAGATTTTTTTTCTCTTATATACTCATCAAATTAGATTTTAGATCAATATATGTTAACGTTTTAAAAACATTGATACAATTTTAATCACTACAGCTTCAGAAATTCTCACAGATTCATTAGAGGACCAGCAAATTTATGTACAGTTCTTTTAAATAGTAGAAATAATGATATTTATAAGCCTGAAAATGTATATTCTATACTTTCTACTTGCCATATTTCATTTTTACCATGACATATTTTTAATTTACTATATGAAGAATGAACCCGAGTATTCTCAGACATGCCGTTTATGGATTATGCACGGTAGGGCTGGGCCAATAATCGAAAATTAATAGAAATCGACATTCAAAACCTATAATCAGTCAAATTTTCCTGGATGATTATTTCATTAACTTTCCTTATGTGTCACATGACTGTGAAGCTGTGACTGATTTCTTCTTCTGCGGCTACAGTTTGCAGTTGCATCTGATCTCCGGTCAAGTAGGACGATGGACTTATTCTTGAGCTTTACTTTGCACACATTGACAATGACTGGAAGCTGCGCCAGGCATTCCTTTAGATGGCATATAAACATCATTGTCAGTAAACTATGGGGGCTTAAAAATAAAATAAATGAAATAATCCTAATTGAGTTAAAATGTTCAATTAATCGAGATTTAGATTTTAGGCCAAGTCGCTCAGCCCTAATACAAGGAGGAAAGACGCTTGTATTTATCTCAGATTTTAATGCTTGATTCATAATTACCTGACTGAGCATTTTAAACATTTATTGCTGGAGGGTAAGAAGAAATGCCTCATGCTGCTGTGTTTTGTTGTATTTTTAGACTGCATATGCTTGACGTAATAATACCCTTGTAAAGCTAAACAGCTGCACACACACCTGACTTTCTGTTATTGTCAAAGTGTCCGAACTTTTAACGTTTCATAGAATAAAATATTGGAGATATGTAATTTCCTCCTTTCTCTGCTAACTCTGAGTTAATCAGTATTTTCTTCTATTTATTAACTGCAGCTCAATGTATAAATGTATAAAGCAGTTGAATGCATTTGAATAATAGTTATTTAACTAAACAGTGCAGCAGCGTTCATTCATTTGCGACCACAGAGATGAGCTTGAATAAATAACTGGTCCACTTTCTCTTTTGCGCAGGGGAGCAAGGAGAAATATCACTGGCAGACCCAGAATGTGAAGGTCAGTGGTGTGGATGACATGGTCCTCTTGTCTAAGATCACAGAGGACGCCATTACAGACAACCTCAAGAAGAGATACATGGATGATTACATTTTCGTATCCTTATGATTGCAATTATGTCCTTTTAGACTTTTTTTCAGACAAAATGTTCTGCAGCCCCAATTTTGAGCTTTGATAATAATAATAATTTTAATGATAATAATAACAGTAGTAGTAATAATAATAGATAGATAATTATAGAGCTCACAATCAGTATATTGATATGGAGCATATTGAGTACAATGACATTTCAAGGATTCTTTATTGAAGGCTAGTGTAGTAATGCTGGTAATTTAGCTTTGCCATCGCTGAATTAAATAGCATTTTATTATGTCTTCAATCAGAATACAGTTATTTTTAATTAAAGTAAAATTTGTTTGTTTGTCTTTTGCCTAGACAAAAACAATTTTCTATTTTCTTCAGAAAAGGTAAATATCTGGTTAGTTATTGTTTTTTCTTATAGTATTTTTTTCTAATAAAATTCCCAAAAACTTTTAGGTTTTAATTGTTTTGCACTCCATTTTGACTGGTAAAATGGACATTAATGAGTCAATAAACTGGACAAGCATTTTAATAAATAATTCATCCGTGTATAAAATGTTACATGTGTTTTATATGTTAATGTTTATATAAAAAATTATAAACTGATGTTAAAACTCATTAAGAGTTATGAATAAAATATTAGGTCGGCAATAGCAACAAATACCATTTTTAGAAACACTCTGAATCTTTTATAATCCATAAGTTGTTATTTGTAACTCTTTGTTCTGTTAAAATTAAAACACAGGAAAAAACAAGGATTAATTCTTTAAAAGTTTAAGTAGTATTATTATTGTTGTTATTTTTACATTGTCATAAAAATGATTGATTGGATTTACTAAAATTAAGTTAAGTGGTTGTAAGCAATTTATATAGGCTGAATTTAAACAAACAAACTTGGTAATGTTCAACTTAATTTGTTTAAATTCAGCTTATTTAAATAGTTTGCAACAAAATGCAATGAACCATTTTTCAGTGTATTATTATTTTCTATATTTATTATATTATTGTATTCCATATATTTCTGTCAAAATTTCTACTTTTATTTTTTTACGGTTGTCATAAAGTTGCTGGAGTTTCTGTTGTGTGCATTATGTGATGATATTTTGTTATGTGGAAAACGGTAACAGCTTCTGTGCTGTTTAATATTGACAGACATTACTACATGTCATGGTTTAAATGTGCAGTTGGTAATCTTCCACAATGCTAACAGCTTAGTATAAATCTCTGAATCACAGTCCCTCCCCTGCCATCTAGAGCCACGCCTCCTGAAACAGGAGCACGGCAAAAGAACCCTCTCTCATGTGCTAAAAGTGACTAGTGCTTGTCTGGCGGCGTGCAAGCCAAACTGTCACGCCATTTCAGAGCGAAAATTTAGAGTTGCATGGTAAACAATATAGGGAGAGAGTAGGCGGAATATCGGTATTTACCCTTATGAAGCTAAAAATAGTCTTATCAATCGATCATTGGAAGATCTTAGTGTCTGAGCAACACTTCTGTGAAGATATAACCCATTTGTAACAATGTTACATCAGCTTTGCGTGAAGCTAAAACAGTTTTAAAACAGAACATTACCTGTCTAGGAGAAATCCTTTAGACATTCTATCATCCTTTCTCCAGCGTACAAAGGTAACTCCAATTTTGATTCAGGTTTTTAAAAAGTTTTGATTCAGCAGTTTAGTGATCGCGTGTGCGTGCTCTCTCTCCCTCTCTCGTGAATGCACGGCGGTTGGCGGAGCTGCGAACAAAAGGCTATGCAGTTGTTCAAATCTGCATTTGCTGATAGACAGTTTAGCCTACTTATCGGAATTATGAGAGATGTCGGCCCGACTCTTTATTTAATTTTTTTGTTTTATGCCTTACCCAAAATATAAAAATACATTTAGATCATTTACTTTATTCATTACTATTAGACTGTGAAGAGACTTTCAACCAGCACAACTAAAAATGTTTCTGAAGACAATCACCTACTGCACCTTTAATTGTGTTTACAACACTACCTTTAATTTATTGATCCAAAATTTCTTATGACTGCATTCTAATGTTGTGCATCACAGAAATGATTAGACACCAAGCTGCTTATCTGTTTTGTTGTTTTTGCCATAACCATGACTCTTCAGACATACATCGGTCCTGTTCTGATATCAGTGAACCCTTTTAAACAGCTGCCGTATTTCACAGACCGAGAGATTGAACTGTATCAGGGAGCTGTAAGTATTAACATCTATTAATAAGTTATACACTAACTTATATTAAAGTTGCCCTATTATCGATTATTTAAAAAGTCATATTTTGGTTTTGAGCATGCATGTTCAAAAAACACTTATATTGTCTTAAAATATGTGTTTGTTTTGAACTTATATTATCAATGATTCCCAAATGGGTTACTCAAGGAAACATTTTTCCAACCATTGCTTTGCATGATGCTAATTTTGGGTGATGTTCTGATGAGTTTTGGGTCTGTTAGAAAGAGAATGCCCATCACAATTATTGGATTACGGCTTATCAAGTGCTGAGGATTCTATACAGTGTAGGAACTGGCAAGATGGCTTTAATTTTACCTTATCAATTCCAACCCAACACAAGGTTGATGCTTCACTGCTGTGGTATTGGTGTAGAAGCAGCCTCAAACTTTGACATTAAAAATGTATTTTCCCTTACAATACAGCTTCTTCTTAACATGGTGCTGTTCCAGGCACTCTGTTAATGCTTCAGGTTGACATCAATATAAAATGGCTTGGGATTCATTTTGAAAATGACTTATTTTAATGGCTTTGAGTTGACTTTTTTTTTTTTTTTCCCCAGAGACGATCATTTTATGCATGGTGCACTTTTAGATTTACTGTATGGGATGTCTTCAATCACTCAGAGCTGTGTAACACTGTGCATGAAAGATCATTTTCAGAAATGCATAACAGGGGCACTTTAACTCTTTTCATGCCTGCATTATTGAGTATTTTAGCCTTTTTCAACTAGGAATGTATTGCAGTCTGTTTTTTTGCCAGCAATGTACAGTGCTCAACATATACAAGTACAACAAAATTTTTTTTTTATTACTAATATTAATATAGAATGGAATGCATTACAATATTATATTTGTGCATATACACTCACCGGCCACTTTATTAGGTACACCTTACTAGTACCAGGTTGGACCCCCTTTTGCCTTCAGAACTGCCTTATTTCTTCATGGCATAGATTCAACAAGCTACTGGAAATATTCCTCAGAGATTTTGATCCATATTGACCTGATAGCATTAGGCAGTTGCTGCACATCCATCATGTGAATCTCCCGTTCCACCACATCCCAAAGGTGCTCTATTGGATTGAAATATGGTGACTGTGGAGGCCATTTGAGTACAGTGAACTCATTGTCATGTTCAAGAAACCAGTCTGAGATGATTCGCGCTTTGTGACTTGGTGTGTTATCCTGCTGGAAGTAACCATCAGAAGATGCTCAATTGGTACTAAATGTCCCAAAGTGAGCCAAGAAAATATCCCCCACACCATTACGCCACCGGCACCAGCCTGAACTGTTGATACAAGGCAGGATAGCTAATATAGCAAAAAATATATATATAGCAAATATATTACAAATATAATATATATAATATAGCAAAATATTAAATAAAAATGTTAAAAAGAGAAAAAAAATTATCTAAAATTTAATTGAAAATTTGCAGTTTGGATTTTTTTTTTGTTGCAATATTTCACTTAAATTTAAATGTATTATATTTATTTTTCTAAAGATGTTCGGTGACTAAAATGTTTTTTTAATAAATATATCTGATTAATAAATCTTTTTTGTTCAAAAGTACCAAAATATAATATGGATAAAATATTCATTTTCAAAATTGGGTGTACTCAATTATGATAAGCACTATATGACCATGTTCTCTAGGAAAATAACGAAACCAGCACAATAAATCTTTAAATATGTTCATATTTTGCTGATAGGTTTTTGACAAAAAACCCTCCCTGAAAAAAAACAGTGTGTATATATATATATATATATATATATATATATATATATATATATATATATATATATATATATATATATATATATATATACAGTTTACAGACACTATACTTAGACTTCCCTTACTATAATATACCTAAAACACAAATGTCCATAGAATCTTGTCAATGACATGGAGGTGTTGTTTCTTAAATGATGAGATATCTTGTCACTAGCGGAGAAAGAGTAATGTCCAGTACATACCGTACTGTGACCTAAACGCATGGATGCAAAATGTAAATCCGGTTCAGATGAAAAATCATTCCTGCAGGATAAGACATTTAAACATGACCAGACAGACCAGAGCAATGCCAGTGCATGTCCGGTCTTGCCATTGAGCGTTAACATCTGTATCTCGATGGCCAAATCAAAGGAAGTGAATATGCATAACAGGAGGTGTTTCTGGTCACGGGAAAATGTCACTGCTTCAGTTTCATGCAAATGTGACTTTTAATTTTCTAAGACCATCTTATTGAGTTCTGTGATGTGTGTGTGTGTGTGTGTGTGTGTGTACAGGCACAGTATGAGAATCCACCCCACATCTACGCTCTGGCTGATAACATGTACCGCAACATGATGATCGACTCTGAGAACCAGTGTGTCATTATAAGGTCAGGGATCGAGAAACTGGCACCCACATCATGAGACACGTTTAAAGTATTTGAGTGGCATCAGTGGTTTACATTATGATTTGATTTTGTCTGTAATGCAGTGGAGAGAGTGGAGCGGGGAAAACAGTGGCAGCCAAATACATCATGAGCTACATCTCCAAAGTGTCTGGGGGTGGACCCAAAGTTCAGGTGAGCAGATTAAAGGGTTCAAATCTTGGGTTTGAAAAATCTCCCTCTGAGATTATGAGGAAGCTTTAGCCCTCCTGTGAAATTTGAATTCTTTTTCATACATTTCTTAAGTGATCATTAACAGAGCAAGGATGTTTTTGACAGTAATAGCCTATTATATTTCTTTCTTCAAAAATTGTATTTCTTAGTTTTGCTGGAATTAAAGCAGTTTTTATCTTATTAAAATAATTTTTAAAGGTAAATATTATTAGATCCATTAGGAGTTTTTTAGGGGTGTTAACCTACACTGGTCTCCTGCCATCATGCCATGGTATCATGCCATCGATTCAGGTCAATTCGATATTATTCGAGGATTATAGAAAACCTTGAGATAATCTCTTTACAGGTCTTGGATCGCATCAGTGGTGCTGCATAATCTCTGGGGGCCTCGAAATTTGTATCCCCTGGTGAAAATATAGAATAAAGAAAATAGCGTAGCTGCTGTTCATAGTGTATATAAACGAGATGTGTGGAGCACATTCATGCATCATACTGCTATGCTTTACTAAAAAGATAGGTCTTTAATCTAGTTTTGAACTGCAAGAGTGTGTCTGAGTCTCGGACATTATCAGGAAGGCTATTCCAGAGTTTAGGAGCCATAAATGAGAAGGCTCGACCTCCTTTAGTAGACTTTGCTATTTTGGGTACTACCAAAAGCCCTGAGTTTTGAGATCTTAAAGAGCGAGTTGGATTGTAGCGAGACAGAAGGTTGGTTAGATAAACAGGAGCTAGATTATTTAAAGCTTTATAGCTAAGAAGCAATATCTGAAGTTTGTTAATAGAGGATGCTGGGCAACCAGTGACAGAGGATTACTATAATCCAGCCTAGAAGAAAAACTATTGTCTTGCAAAATAATTACTAAAATATTACTATCATGACAAAGACAAAACAATTTAGTTTTATATTAACTTTATATATGAAGTGCCTTTAACTACTATGTACTTGCATCAAAAAAATAAATACAGCATACTTACAGTGTTCATAATGTATAGCAGAACACTCCTGGTACTCTTGAAGTGGGATACGGGTAGGGTTGGCAACAGGTTTGGTGGTATGGTTAGGTTTAAGGGTGGGGTCAACCGTGTATTTAAAAATGTATTTAAAGAAATTAATTATGGATGTATTGACATGAATGTATTTAATCAATCATAAACACACTGTAAAGACGTATTTACACAATAAACACATTATAACATATGATTAATTTCAGTTTAAGTACATATTAAATAAGATAACTTGTCATAAAAGTTGAACCGAAATTAGTTATTGAAACTGTTATGTTTACAAATGTGTTTCTCCATTAAACAGCACCTGGGAATATTTGTAATATATTTATATAGTAGGCAGGAGGTCACTGTACTATTTGACCATCCCGTACATTCATTACATTTCTGCAAAACATTGTATTGTGCCTCTACTACAGACATTATAACTAACTTTCCAACTACATTTTGACTTGCCCTAACCTACAGTAATCCAATTTATACTCTGTTAATAGTTAATAAGAATAAGTTGCAAATGTTTATATATTGGCCCTGTTTCAACCTGGAATTACCATTCATTCAGATGCATTTCTTCTGATGAATTGTGCTTGTATTTTGTTGAGACTTTTCCCTTTATTTCGTCCCACTCTTCATCATTTTCATAGGAGCAGTCAGTGTGATGCGCAGCCTTGTTAAATGGTGTATGAGTGAACACATGAAAAAGATGTGGATGGCAATTAATTTATTAATTTATTCATTCATACTTGTCCTTTATCAGGGATCGACACAGCGTAATGAACCGCCAACTATTCCAGCATATGTTATACGCAGCGTATGCCCTTCCAGCCGTAACCCAGTACTGGGAAACACCCATACACTCTCACACACATTTATACAGTCACACACCACGGCCAATTTTGTTTACTCAATTCCCCTAAAGTGCATGTCTTTGAAATGAAACTGGAGCACCTATAGAAAATACACGCCAACACAGGGAGAACATGCAAACTCCACACAGAAACACCAACTGGCCCAGCCGGCCCTCGAACCAGTGATCTTCTTGCTGTGGAGCGACAGTGCTAACCACTGAGCCATTGTGCCACCCCAATAGCAGTTATTTTTGATAATATCTTGTATGTTTTAGCACAGTGCATGAGTCTCAATATCCTGTTTCTGTGTGGATTTTCAACAACCTTGTTTTTCACAACTCGTTCCAGAAAGATCATGCTTTGATCAGTAGGCAGAGAGTAGTTGCTTAAATGTATTAAACAACATGAGTGTTTACACTTCAAAAGAAATCCATTCATTCAAATGTGGAAAAGTCAAAAAGTGGACAAGTTTTAATTTGATATCCCATTTTACACCTGTATTTAGCATTGCCCACTTGTGATTGGACGGATGAACATGCATCTTAACTTAAGTATAGGCAGGATTATTTTAGTCTACTGAATGTTTATGAAAGAAGTAGTAGTCCTGTATTTCCTGTAAATGTTTGGTCAAACAGGTTTGGCTGAGACCAGATTTTTTGGATGGTCATTTGAACTCAAACCCTGTGAAATCCAGGGTGTGGTTGATTTCTTTTGTAGTATTGGCCACAATTGGTGCTCATTGTATGTGAAATGTTGCACCCTGACCGTTATCTGAGATCAAAAACCATGATCCCTTTCTTTGCTCCTCTGCCAGATCTAAAAAAAAAGAAAAAAAAAAAAGAATGAAAGCAATGAACCAAAAACTTTAAAAATGGCACTTCTAAAAACTTTTAATTATTCCAACATGCTCAGAAGTGTACACATTTATTGTATATGTTCTATATGGCATATATTGTTTCCTCTTTCAGCATGTTAAAGACATCATTCTGCAGTCTAACCCGCTGCTGGAGGCTTTTGGGAATGCTAAAACCGTCAGAAACAACAACTCCAGTCGCTTTGTAAGTTTTGATTACCCTTACGTCTGATGATTTGATCTCTTTTAGTCTCAGAAATGCACATTTTTACTTTAGTTGATTAATTTTTTACTTTCTTTTAATTGTGTGTATTTGTTGTCACAAAAACAATAATAAAGCATAAATACAGCTCAAAAACAACAATGCAGCTTTAATATTTAAAGTCAAAATAAAAATATTTTGTTTCATTTTCACAAATATTTATGTTACACTTAATGATAATGATGGAACATTATTTTATAATTATGTTGTGTTATTATCATCACTTAAGAATTATAAGGTTCTATCTGACATTTTTGTCAAAATTGAGTTATTGACATATTTTTATTAAATGACAACTTATTTACATTTTGGGGTGTTTTTTTATAAGTTGTTGTTTACATTTTAGGACTTTTTATTTATTTTTAATGTTACACACATGCTGTTTGCTATGGAATACAAAAACTTTAAAGCTCAATGTCTCAAAATCATTCAGAACGCAGATAGAACCTTATAATTCCATGGTTACGGTATTATAGAAGACATGTTTTTATGATTAGGGTTAGGGTTAGGGTTAGGCTAACCCTAACCCTATTATGTCAATGCCAATGTTATCGGAAACATTAATAGATGCTTGCATTGATTGTTTTCTACATGTATAGAATAGAGATTCTTTTGCTCATCTTTGACTCATTTAACTTTTAATAGTTAAAAATAAACATTTAATAGTTCTTATAATTCTGTGTATAAAATAAAAATGACATATTATGCACATGTATTATTAATTGTACTAGCATTTTATTTTATTGAACTTTTATTAAAATAATATTTATATCTAAATTATTTTAATACAAAAATGAAGCTTATATGGCCTCTGTGATGCTGTCTCATGAATCAGTGTATCCACGTCTAAGAATGTCATTTGGAGCTTGCTGGTCCTCAACATGTCATAGCTTGTTTTCTTCTGCGGGATGTGGTTGTAGGATTGCAGTGTGTGTGTATGTAGCTCTGATATACAACAAGACATTAAGTACATTCATGTTGTGTACCAGAGAGCCCATTTTCTTTTCTGCTGCTCTGTTTGTCAACACATGTATGTGATAATGTTGGTGATAAATTTATTTTTGATCTTAGGGAAAATACTTTGAAATTCAGTTCAGCCGAGGAGGAGAACCTGATGGGGGAAAGATCTCTAACTTCCTGCTGGAAAAATCCAGAGTAGTGTCTCAAAACAATGGAGAAAGGAATTTTCATATATACTACCAGGTAAAAGTCAACACATTCAAGCTAAGGTCATTTCAGGAAATTATGAGTTTAAAAAAACTGCCAGGTTGTTGTGTCTTTTTAGGGCAGTGTTATTTAATCCAGGAATGCTTTGTGTCGTATTAGTTGCTCATATTACTTAGGTCGGAATTCAAGATTTAAAATTTGATAAAATTGTTGCTTGTTTTTAATATAATAATAATAATAAACTTTATTTCTATAGTGCCTTTAAAAGAAATTTCTTAAAATTCTGAGCACTGTGCAAACAATTCAGTAAAATAATACAAGATCAACAAGTAAAAGGAAGTTTAAAGAAATAAGTCTTCAAGTGAACTTTAAAAGTACCTTTTTTTCATATCTGATGTTCCAGCTTTTGAAAGGAGCCACCAAAGAGCAGAGAGAGAATTTAGGAGTCACGACTCCTGATTACTACTTTTATTTAAACCAGTCCGACACCTACACTGTGGAGGATGTCAACGACAAGAAGGAGTTTGAAGACACAATGGTGGGTGTAAAGCGTTGTATCCTAATGCAAAAATTCAAATTTAAATCTTATTTGTGTCATACACAGTACAATATGCTGTGAAATGCTTATACAACCGCCCTTGACATTAAAAATAACAATAATAATATCAGATAATATCAAATAATATTATCAATAATAATGTAGGCTAAAATTGAAGGCTAAATTATTAACTCTCCTGGGAAATTTTAGTCTTTTTTTCCCCAAGTATTCGCCAAATAATATTTAACAGAGCAAGGACATTTTCACAGTATTTAGTATAATATTTCCTATTCGTTTCCAACTTATTGTTTATAAGTAAGGCCAGACAGAATTTGGGGACATTTCTTTTGCTATGTCTGCTGAGAATTTTGTAAAACAATCTGCAGATTCATGCGGAATTATTTTGGGAGTATCATAAATAAAACTGTAATAAATGAAATAAAAAATAATTCTTTACTTACTCTTTGCTTACTTACTTCTTAACTTTTATTTAATGTTTACAATTTCAGATCCAATTAGATTTTGGACTTATTTGGTAAACAAGGCAAGTCTCTCATATGATATTCTACCTGACAAAAGTCTTGTCGTCAATCCCAGTTGTAAAAGCAACAAATAAAAACTTGTCTTCTAGTTGATCACTTGGAAAAGTGGCAGAAGGTAGATTTTTCCAATGAATCATCTGTTGAACTTCATCTCAATCATCACAAATACTGCAGAAGACCGATTGGAACTCGCATGGACCCAAGATTCTCTCTGAAATCAGTTTGGTGAAGGAAAAATCATGGTTTGGGGTTACATTAAGTATGGGGGCGACTGAATGAGAGATCTGCAGAGTGGATGGCAACATCAACAGCCTGAGGTATCAAGACATTTGTGCTGCCCATTACATTACAAACCACAGGAGAGGGCAAATTCTTCAGCCGGAGAGTGCTCCTACTCATACTTCAGCCTCCACATCAAAGTTCCTGAAAGCAAAGAAGGTCAAGGTCCTTCCGGATTGGCCGGATTATTGAGCATGTCTGGGGTAAGATGGAGGAGGTGTTGAAGAGGAATCCAAACAATCTTCATGAACTCTGGGAGTCCTGCATTTCTTTGCCATTCTAGAGGACTTTATTAATGTTATTTGAGTCATTACATAGATGTATGGATGCAGTCCTCCAAGCTCATGGGAGTCATACACTAAATTAATTATTTTTCTACTGCACCATGACTTTATATTCTATACTGTACATTATTTCTGTTAAGTGACAAGACTTTTGTCTCAGCAAAGTCAGACCTTACTGTCATAATCTAATAATTTAAAATCAAGGCATGGTCATATTTTATTCTGGTAAAATAAGCGTAATCTAGAGGTCTTTGCCATTCATAATAGCCCCTTCTAATACCAAACAATCAACTAAAGGTCAAGTTATTATTTGTTGTTCGATAGACCACAAGACTTTTAACTAAAAGACAGAAAATATTACTTAAACTGTTGTAAATAATAATTTGAACATTTTCAAATTAGTCAATATTACTGAAATGAATTTAAAAACTGAATAAATATAAATGTAAACACATTTACACAAGTAAATGAATAGACGATGTGATGGGCTAAATGCAGATTCTGTGTGGGCCTAGTTATAAGAAACGAGTTATTAAAAGCTATTAATACTATGTTTAAAAATGTTGATTCTCCTCATTAAAATGTACTGACTGTATTTTTAAAAGAAAAAAAATATTTCTCAGAAGGCTTAATAACTTCAGATTAAACTGTCAAAAAATGGTGCACCATGCAAACATGCCAAAACCAGCACTGTTTATTTGAAACGTGAGCCACACGGACCATTTAGCATCTTGAACCAAAAGAAATGAGAGCGCCGTTTGTAATGATCAAAACATCAGAAGTCAGCAGTGCCAAGCATTCGGGAGTCAAAATCACAACTGACATTATCATAACAGACAAAAGATTTTGTGTTGTCTTCTAAGTGTACACTATATATAGTATGCTATATCACAATGTAAAATTAACTATATTTGTAGAATGCCATGTCGGTGGTAGGCCTGTCAATGGATGCGCAGGACTCGGTGCTGCAGATCGTGGCAGGCATCCTCCATCTGGGCAACATCGCTTTCAGAGAGGAGGGCAACTATGCTGTGGTGGAGAGTGAAGACTGTGAGTTTATCCTTACTGAAATATTGGATTTAATGAAAAGAGTAGAAGTAAGAAGCTTTTAAAATTAATTCATTATGGCTCTACTGCAGTTTTGGCATTCCCATCATACCTGTTGGGGATCAATCAGGACGGTTTAAAGAGCAAACTGACCAGTCGTATCATGGACAGCAAGTGGGGTGGCAAGACGGAGACCATTTCTGTCACCTTAAACACGGAGCAGGCCTCCTTCACCAGAGACGCCCTGTCCAAAGCACTGTATTCAAGACTCTTCGACTATTTGGTTGATGTGAGTCGGTCTGCCAGATTACAAATGGCCATTCATGATGTTTTAAGTTCATGTGGTAAATGCTATCATTTAAAATTTAATTTTAGAAGAACATTTCAGATGCCATTTAGAGATTTTTGCATCTGAACTCTTCACTTCTTTTTTTTTTTTTTTTTTAAAACAAGGATGTATTAAAGGGATAGTTCATTCAAAAATGGAAATGTACTCACTCTCTTTTTGTTTCAACCCATTTTAAGCTTCTGTCTTCTGATGAACACAAAGGAAGATATACTGAACAGTGGTGGGGAAAAAACATCTATTGACTTTCATTGTATTTTTTGTTCATATGGATATCAATGGCTGTTTTTCCACCAACATTCTTTAGAATATCTTCTTTTGGGTTCAACAGAAGAAATAAATCAGTGTGAGTAAACGTTGATCAAATGTGTAAGAGCATGATTCTACAAAAGATTTTTGTGTCAATTCAATACTGTTTTGTGAGCTTTCTAATACAATTGTAAATTTTACTCCTGTTTCACACCGACCGTGCGAGCAGAGCATGAGCAGCACGTGTTTTTTCTGCTTTTATGTTAACTTTTATGTTATGTTATGTTCTGTTAAGATTAGAGCTTTCATAATGAACACATAAGCACTGTGTCAGTTTGGAGCATGTGCATTGCTGAAGCAGCCGTGCCGGGATAGTTTCAGCACTGGGACTATTTTTGTCGTGCCAAAATAGACCCAGATGTCGCTCAATTAAAGTGAGATTGCATTGATAATGACAAAAACACATCGAATGACAGTAAAAAGTAGCCATTTTATCTAATCAATGCATCGATAACATCCACTGATTTTTAAACAGTCAATCAAATTAACTTTAACTATTTAAAACGGTAACAAATATTTATTTAGGCCCGAATTACAAAACAAAATTTAAAACAGTTAAAGTATTAGTTTTGGCTAAGTTGCACACTAGTTTGATCATGTATAAATATCATTATAACTATGTTGTATAAATATTATTATAACTAAAGTCCTACATCATCCTGACAATCAAAAACAAAAGTATATGATCTCACAGACGATTATCTTCTGACCGAGTGCACCTTAAAAGACATGATTGACACTCCTCATACAGATTGAAAAGCATACAGTTCTTTAGGATCTATATCATTTGTAAAATAAAGACTTGCAGGTTAAAGAAAGAGCATGGGAGGAAGTTGCTGCAGACCTTGGTGCAGATGACAAGTGAAAAAAAAGTGTATAGATAGATAGATAGATAGATAGATAGATAGAATCGACAGAGATAGATTGATCTGTGGAACAGCTGCTGATCAGCTGCGCACTGGTGATGCAGCCATTGTGAAAGGCAAATGCCTGTGCACTGCTTTTGCTTTCCATATGCGCTGTGCATGCTCTGCCCGCTTGTGCGATTTGAAACAGGTGTTACAGACCCTTTAGTATTCAAAAGTCTCAAAAATCTAAAGACATGTCATTCCAATTAGTTTCTGCTTTCATTTAAAGGCCATAAATAAAGCAATGCAGAAGGACCGTGAAGAGCTGAACATTGGCGTTCTGGACATCTATGGCTTTGAAATATTTCAGGTGAATTCAGTTTTATTTTAAAATTAAATTTCTTTTTTTAATTACTTTTTATATTGAAGTAACCTCATGTCTCTGCCCTTCCAGAAAAATGGATTCGAGCAGTTCTGCATCAACTTTGTGAATGAAAAGCTCCAACAGATTTTCATTGAGCTCACACTAAAAGCAGAGCAGGTGAGAAATATCTTTTTTTATAAACGTATTGATGCATACGCTTTTTTTTTAATCAGTCTGATCACACAGTAGATGAGGGAGACATTCATTTTTACTCTGTTTCTCTCATCTACTTTTCTGCTTTCTTCAAGGGGAGAGTATATGGAAGGGTGTATATTTTTGAACTGAGCTAAATTGAATTGAGTCAATATTGGGAAATAATCTTGTATCATTTGAAGACAATAGCAAATGATGTTTTGATGGCCATAAAATTACACTTAAACACTGGGTTTGTGTTTGAATCTGGATTGGTAAGAGAGCATAGCTTAGTGTTTTACCACTACTGTAAGTTTTATTGTCCCCTTTTGGGAGGGTTTGTTTTGTATTACAACACATATATCATACCACACACTTAAAATAAACATTAAGCAACATTAATAGTACTAAAAAACAGCAACTACCCTTAAAATTCAGCAAAACAATCACACAAGGAACAAATGAAAATTTAAATCTCTTGGTCCTTTCCAAAGGGACCTTATACCGAGATCCTGAGGGAAGAATTTGAAATGAATCAATAAAGAGGATGGTGTATATCAGATGTAATCTAACGGGCTTTCTTAAACACCTGGCTTTCATAGAAATAGGATAATCCCAGCACTTTTACCCCTAATACTTTGCTGCAGGTATTTAAAACCGTAGACAGCGAGTTATTCTGTTTTACTTTTAAAGAAGTAAACCAACAAATCAATGAAAATTTTCAAATGGATTCTTTAAAATGCCACCATCAGAGTCCTGTTATTATTAAACTTGGCTAATTTTCGCAGACAATAAAGTCTTTGTTGGCCTTTCCTACATAGTCTTACAGTATTTTCATTAAAATTTCATTTTTTTATCAATAATAGTACCTAGATACTTATGACGATGACTGGTTTATATAGCAAAGTTTAAATCCTAAATGACTAGCATGTTTTAACAACACATCCTGTACTGTTTACAAACTAGAATTTGAGTAGGAAGAGTGTAGGTGTTTTTTTTTTTTTGTGGATATTCGGACTCTTAACATACTCCACCGTAAGAGTGTGTAAACTGTGAAAGAAAACCGATGGGTTTGACCACCTCTGGAAGTTGTTAGGCTTAGGGTTTGAGCCATTTACGTAGAACTCTGACAAGCTTAAAATGTTTCAGACTCCCTTTGCATGTATTCATCATTGTCCACTTGTGATCATCTCACCAAAACATCTTGAAGGGATAGTTTGTTCAAAAAACATTTCACCATTTCCTCACACTCAAGTGATTATAAATATTTCAGGAATTTCTTTATTCTGTTGAGCACAAAACAAGATAATCTGACATTCTGAATGTTGAAAAAAGTTGTCATTGACATCAATAGTAAAAACAAAAAATACTAAGGAAGACAATGGATGCTTTTTCGATCAATCTTCACTCAGTATATCTTATTTTGTGTTGTATAATGCTATATTATGTGTTATATATTATAATAGGAACTTATTAAACTATCTCTTTAATACCAGATTTAAACAGGACATTTGCAAATATTTTCTGCTCCCTATTTTGCAGGAAGAGTATGTACAAGAGGGAATCAGCTGGACCCCCATTGAGTACTTTAACAATAAAGTAGTATGTGATTTAATTGAGTCCAAACTGGTGAGTTTGCACATTCCATTAAAACTTCTGTCATATACCTAACATCACCTCTTCATCTAATTGTATCTAATGGGCATCTTAATGACCCAGAATCCTCCTGGAATCATGAGCATCCTGGATGATGTTTGTGCAACCATGCATGCCAAAGGCGAGGGCGCTGACCAAACCCTTCTGCAAAAACTGCAGTCACAAATCGGCACACATGAACACTTCAACAGCTGGAACAAAGGTTTTGTTGTGCACCACTATGCCGGCAAGGTAGGAGAGCATTTTCAAGTGTACCTATGTTGGATGTTTGTGTAAAAATGTTTGGCAAAAGTAAGTTTCATAATCATCAAACTTTATAAAATGTGCCCTTTTGATGAATTAATTACATTTAAACTAATGAATACCTTTTGTTAAACTATTAAATTTAATTTCTAATCAAATGTGTAATGGGACTAAAATTAAATGTTTAAATTTTATTAACTTTAGGGCTAGGATAAGGTTTTTCTTTAAGGTTATTAAGGGTGGCACGGTGATTGAATGGTTAGCACTGACTCCTCACAGCAAGAAGGTCACTGATTCGAGTCCAGGCAGAGTCAGTTAGCATTTCTGTGTGGAGTTTGAATGTTCTTCCCGTGTTCGTGTGGGTTTGCTACGGTTTCCCCCACAGTCCAAAGACATGCGCTATAGGTGAATTGGATGAACCAAACTGGCCGTAGTGTATGAGTGTGTGTGTAAATGAGAGTGTATGGCTGTTTCCCAGTACTGTGTTGAAGCTGGAAGGGCATTCGCTGTGTAAAACATATGGCAGAATAGTTGTTAAAGAGCCCATATTATGGGTTTTTGAAAATTCCCCTCCATGTAGTGTGTAACACAGCTCTAAGTGAAGTGAAGTATCCAGCTAAGGCTTAAATCTGTAAGAATACAGTGTTTAAAACGGTTGATTCATCTATAAAAGAGTCGACTCATAGTGCTTCAAACGAGTCGCCTTGATACCGACTCATTAGGTGTTTCGCCATGACGTACGAACGAAACCAAGTTATTCACGTGCACGCGCAAACCCGGGAGATTTCAAACCTGAGGCCCCGCCCTCTGACGCAGAAACCCAGACACACACACATACCCACAAACACACGCACACCCACAAACACACGCACACAAACATGCCGGTCGATTGAAGTAACACTGCAGATGGACATTATATTGAGTCTCTACCCAAAGATGAAACATCAGCATTATAACCAAGCAGTTGGAAACTTCTGGAAGCTACATGCTACAAAGAATACTTCATCTGAGTTTGTTAAAGGAAGGATCAGTAAAGAGTAACTGATGGACGTCAGGATGGGTTTCTTCCATTTCTCAAGTGTAAGTACGTGCGGTTAAAGTTGTTGCCTCGTTTACTCTAGCTTGCAAATGTATTTAGTTGTGATTTGTTACTTGTAACCGCGTGTACTGTATCAGGTTAACTGGATATATTATCTTATCGCGTGCAAAGTCACGTTAAAAACGCGACGCGTGCTGTTTGTTTATGGAGCTCCGTGCTAGAGTTCTGCTCCCGCGATTTATTCGGAAATTTATTCCCGCGCCGCAGAAATCTGGCGCGGGGACAGCCGCGGGAATAAATTTCCGAATAAATCGCGGGAGCGGTCGGTAACGGGTTTAATTTGGGACGGGAGCGGGCTGTCTAGCAATATCATGGATATTGCTATGCGAATTAGAAAGAGAGAGTCTGCGTGGTGCTTGTGTGTGTGTTAGTGCGCACGCGCGCGTATGAGAGAGAGCGAGAGCGAGAGAGAGAGAGAGAGCGAACGAACGAACGAACGAGCTTTGTGCTGTGTGTGTGTGTTTATACAGACAGCTTGGCTGTCTGGACTGTATACTGGGTGATTTTTGGTTGTGTTCTCCGCTCTAGCGGGACCGGGCGCGGCGGGCAGAAAACGGAGCGGGTTCTCAGGCTAAAACCTGGCGGGTGCGGGCGGAAGCGGGAGCGTTGTCATCCGGAGGTGTGTGTGTGTTTTTGTGTGTGTGTGGTATGGCGAGTACACGACTGTCTCCTTCGTTCGGTTATCCGTGGCACTATCCACTCGCCATAGTGTGGCAGCTAAAATCCACGTCTACACTATCGAGCGTGTATGAACTGTGATTACTTTTTAAATTGCTGATTAGCTATTGGCCATTTCACTCTCTGACTGAAGGCAGTCGACCAATCGCGACAGACTGTCATCGGTCCAATCAGCGCAGATTAGCTCCGCGCTAAGGAGGGGTTTGGGAACAAATGAATCACTGGACGATTCATACAGGAGTCGCTGGGATAATTAGCTAAAAATAAATGCAGATTATAAGACCATGAAAGTGTTTTTTGACCTTGCATGCATATTAGACTGTTGTTGGAGACCCTTACAACCAGGATATGACCCTATTTCATGTATAATATGGGCTCTTTAATTCATTCTGCTGTAGCCACCCCTGATAAATAAGGAATTAACCTGAAGAAAATGAAAAAATGTAGGGTTATTAAACATGTAACTATACTGTACACACTTTACAGATATTACTATAGCAAGAAATTCAAAGGTGAAAAAGGGGGTCTCAGGCATAATTTTCCCTCTATACATTTGAATGTTTTGTAGATGACACCCACTAAAATGTCATTCAGTGGAACAATATTTAAATATAACAAAAGATCCTTTTTTTATACCAAACCTATCATTTGATTGAATTTTACTAATATAATAAGATTAAAAAAAAAAAAGTAATTTTAATTTAATGGGGAAACAAACTCATGTCTTTGTTTTTTTAAAAAAAGTTTTATTATTCAAAATGTTTCATTTCTAATAGTTTAAGATAGTTCAGAAGATGTTCATAATTAAAATGGGATCATTTGTATAATCAGATAATTTTTACATGATTTATGTATTTGATATATTTTTTAAAATGTGTTTAACTTTTAAATACAAGAGACTGTTCACGCTGACTGACAATTGAACCTTAAAATAGCGTTCATTTAGCATATATATATAGATTTTTTATACAGCTAAACTGTAATTTTCATGTTTGTACATGTACAGCAGGGGTTTCCAAACTTTTCAGCTACTTACCCCAAAAATAACACTTCAAGTGACTCGTGATGCCCACTATCTTTGGTGGTTATAAACATACAATCATTGCACACAATAGTGCTCACACACCATTAGAAACTATATACAGTTGAAACCAGACGTTTACATACACTCTAAAAAAGCCATTTTAAAAAAATGATCTGATGATAAATATTACTAAACGTTTACTATTTTAGGTCTGTTAGGATTACCTAAATTATTTACATTTGTTAAATGCCAGAATAATGAGAAATTTCTTTAGAGAATTTTTAAAATAATTTCTAGACAGTGAAAAGTTTACATACATTTCCTTGTTTGTTTGTTTTTTAGACTGTATAACTTTGGTCAAATGTTTTTGGTATCCTTCCACAAGCTTCTCACTATAGTTGAAGGAATTTTGGCCCATACCTATTGAAAGAATTGGTGTAACTGACTCAGATTAGTAGGCTGTCTTGTTCGCCGAAGCTTTTTCAACTCTGCCCACAGGATTGTGATCAGGGCTTTGTGATGGCCACTCCAAAACATTCACTATGTTGTCCTTAAAGCACATTTTAACTAATTTGGCAGTATGCTTAGGGGTCATGGTCTGTTTGGGAGACCCAATTGATGCCAAGTTTTTATTTCCTGGCTGATGTTCTGAGATGTTGCTTCAGTATTTCTACATAATGTTCTTTCTTTATGATGCCATCTATGCTGTGAAGTGGACCGGTCCCTCCTGCAACAAAACAGCCCCACAGCATGATGCTGCTCCCAATTTTTCACAGTTGGGATGGTGTTCCTAGGCTTGTAAGCTTTCCCCTTTGTCCTCCAAATGTAACACTGGTCCTTATGGCCAAACAGTTCAATCTTAGTTCCATCAGACCACAGGACATTTCTCCAGAAATTATTCTTATTCCCAGTGTAATTTAGCAAATTGTAATCTGGGTTTTTTGCTAATTCTGGCTTGGTAATTTTTCCCATGTTGTCAAACAAGGAAGCAGTGTGTTTGAAGTTTTCCTTAAATACTATTCTACAGTTGTGCCTCCAATTAACTCAATGTTAGCCAATGAGAAGCTTCCAACACCTTGACACCATCATCTGAGCTTTTTCAGAGGTTTAATAATCTTATTGTATATGTAAACTTGAATTTCACAAAGTTTTAACAATTTTTCAATAAATATCTCTCTTATTATTCTGCTATTAAGCACAACAGAAACAAATTTGATAATCCTAACTTACCTAAAAGAGAAAAAGTTTAGTCACATTAACATCTTAACATCTGACTTTTTTTTTAAATGGTTATGTGCCTTTTTATATAGAGTGTGTAAACTTCTGGTTTCAACTGTAAACATGAGCTTATTGACAACACAAAGTGCAACAGTCTAACAACCGTATCATTTTTTTATAGTCATTATTCATTCATTTAATTTAATATTAACCTCACTTAATGAGAGTGGTCCAATGTTTATAGCACAAGACTATTGTTTGTTTATTTTTATGGAGACTGCCACTTGGAGATCATCCTCTATGTTCAGTTATAGCCTTTATTTTGAATGTACGTGAGTGCTGTAAAGGTGTCAAAATCTAACATTGTGCTGTAAAATCAATCTGCTGCAACTAACTTGCTGTGTCTTTAATCTAGCGTAATAGAACCCCAGGGGTCGCAATCCAATGGAAAATGAATTGAAAGGTTGATGGCTTTTTATAGCATGTTGTTTTTATGAAACTATTAAATACTTTTTTTATCTTCTGTGGGTTATAGAAGAAATATGGTAATTCTAATAGTTGAACTTGATCCACTCATGTATAGATGGTACAAATTAAAATGTAACCCCAATCTGTCACTTGATACTTTCCTTAAAACTGCAGAAAGCTTGTTAAATTATTACAGAGTTCTTTAACCCAGTATATTAATAACAAACTGTTTGGATGCATGCAATACAACTGAATATAGATGTGTTTTAGAGAGAGAGAGCTTCCAGCAAATGGAGTCACACCAATATTGATTGTCTTCTCAGTGCGAGTAATAAGAGCCCTTGTTTGCAGGTGTCTTATGATGTGAGCGGCTTCTGTGAGAGAAACAGAGACGTGCTGTTCAGTGACATCATCGAGCTCATGCAGAGCAGCGAGTTGTAAGTGGTTATTTGGCTTTTTTTACTGCCTTTTTTGCGCACGTCAGCAGAATTGTGGCTGAAGCTTCTTAAAAGCTCCTAAATGCACTCATGCACTGATGCAGAACATCTGCAGTTCAGCTTTAATTCCTTAATGAAATAATAAATCACATTAATAAATCAGAAAATCAATATGCTGGAGGAGGATGGTAAGTTGTTATGCTTCTTGTAAGAGATCTTCTCTGTGGTGTGTAAGTCAGCTCTATGATTATGTATTTTGTGTGATGGTAAGAGAATCAAGAGTTGAAGGGCTTCAGGAATTATAGAAATGATTGATTCCTATTTCTGGTTATCTTTACAGTGCCTTTATTAAAGGTTTGTTCCCAGAGAACATTGAGGCTGAGAAAAGGGGTCGTCCCACTACTGCAGGTTCAAAGATTAAGGTAAAATAATTGAAATACAACACACAGGAGTGCATACTTGGAATTCAAACTACAATTTGACATCATAGGCAACACACTGGGTTTTGATACATTACTCAATTTTGAGTGTGCTGTGACAAAAAGTGATTCATACCTTTTCTCAGTTTTTTTTTCCTCCACTGAGACATTCACTAAACTTTTACTGTTTAATTTCTTAAATTAAAAAAAATTAATTCCTAAAAACATTTTATATTATATTTTATTAGGCCTGCTTTTTATCAGTGTTCAGATTTATATTATGGAAATTAATTCAGATTTGTGTATATTCAATTAGATAATGTCTAATTTGCATATTTATATGTAAAACTTGTATTACCAAAAATAATGTTTGCAGTTCCTGACAACAGGAAGTATGGTATATTATTAGTTGTGGTTTAAAACATTTATCTCATGCTTTAAAGCATGGGTGCCAAAACGTTTTCTTATGAAGCGCCAAAAAACCAAACTTGATTGTGGCTAGTGGGCTGAAGGTTAATAAAGTTGCCATGGGTAAATTCATAATCTATTTTATAATATTTAAAAATGACAAGAAACCATTGCTATAATTGACTAATACAGTATTTTTTACATTTTAAAATGAACTTATTACAGTGAAAACAAAAATAATGTCATTTATAACAGACTCACACTAGTTTTTGACTTGACTTGCTCGCCAATGTCTTCTGCATAGTCTTCTGTCTGTTGAATGACAGTATTTATGTTTTAAAAATCATATTTTGCAATATGATTATGCAAAGTTTAATTTAAGCAATTACTTTCAGTTTGCTTTTTTTGTAGCTCAACAATAACACTAATTAAAGCTGTAAGCAGCGATAAAAGGTGCTAACAAAAAACGTCAAATTAGAAATGACAATCAACCCTCTCTCCAACATTCTTACTATCCTCTAAGCTGGAATGGTGGGCCAAATCAAAGGTTACAATAAGCCAACTTTGGCCCATGGGCCTTACTTTGGGCATCTCTGCATTAAACTCTAAAATCTATTAGTTTTTAATTTGCATTACTATGAAAGTGATTTGGGATCATTGTTTATGCTTATAGGTATGATTGCTTTATTTATTAACTAACTAACTAACTATGTATTTGTTTATTTATTTATTTAAATCAAGTCATCTGTCTTTCTATAGCTGTTTACAGTCTAGATTGTGTCAAAGCCACTTTACTAAGATAAACAGGCCAATAATAAAAGTCAGATATAAAATTTTCAGAATTGTGAAACATATTTAATATGTGAAAGGATTAATTCACCTAAAAATGTATATTTTGTTATTAATTACTCACCCTCATGTTGTTCCAAACCCCTGAGACCTGTTAGAATACATATACATATATATATAAACGAAGGTATAAGAGGTTTGGAATTTTAGTTTGAACTAACCTTTTAAGCAGGCAGCAAAAATGTGAATGAATGCTGGTGTAGTTGGAAGACAACTCATGTCTTTGAATTTCTATTTTCTTCTTTTCTTCTTCTTTCTTTAACAGAAACAGGCAAATACTTTGGTCCAGACGTTAATGAAATGCACCCCTCACTATATTCGATGCATCAAACCCAATGAAACCAAGAAGTCTCGCGACTGGGAGGAAAGTCGTGTAAAACACCAGGTGGAGTATCTGGGACTGCGAGAGAACATCCGTGTGCGCAGGGCCGGTTACGCCTTCAGACGCATCTTCAAAAAATTTCTGCATAGGTAAAATCAGCATTTATTTATCAAGATGCCAAATGATACAAGGGGATTTTGCAGTTGGAAATGTGATTATAAACAGGGTTATGCATTGGTTAATATCTATGTAGCTGTGCAAAAAAATGCACTTTTTATAGTCTGTCCAAAAGTCTGTTTTTACTGTTTTATTTATTTTTATTTAATTCGTGAAAGATTTATGACAGATTTTTTTTCTGATTCATGGACCTTTTTATTTTAACAATATGCCTTTATTCAGTGTTCAGATTTGTTTCATTCATTCATTCTTTTATTCTCCCGGCCCTGGAAAAGTGGATGAAAATAAACGAATGAACGAATGAATGAATGAATGAATGAATGAATGAATGAATGAATGAATGAATGAATGAATAATTCTTATAGGATTTTTGACAGATTTTTTTTAAGATTTATGGAGCTTTTTATTTTAACAAACCTGCCTTTATTCAGTGTTCATATTTATATTTCATTAATTCGTTCATTCATTCGTTCATTCATTCATTATTTCATTCATTTATTTATTCTTTCATTCACTCTTCCCTGGAAAAGTGGATCTGAATGAATGAATGAATGAATGAATGTATAAATGAATGAATGAATAATTCCTAAAATATTTCTGACTTGATTTTTTTTTTTTTTTTCAGATTTATGGACCTGACCTTTTTTATTTAACAAACCTGCCTTTATTCAGGTTTCAGATTTATGATATGAAAACTAATTCAAATTAGTGTGTATTCAATTATATAATGCCAAATTTGCATATTTAAACAAGACATTTTTGTAAACTTGTGATACAAAATAAAAATTTTTGCAGTTCCTGATGTAATCAGACAACTAGGGAAGTAAAGTATGGTCCACTATTCGTTTTATTTTATAATTTTTTTTACCCTTTTCACCAAGGGTCTCATGTTTTAAACCAATAACTCTTTTAGTTTTTTAAATAAAATAAAAAATTATATAAATATGGTTATGCTATATTTATTATCTATATACTGTAGCTTCGCAAAAAAACAAAACAAAATATTAACATTTTTAGTGTTTAAAATTGCTCATTACGTGATAGCCTAGAAAAAAGTTTTACTGTAACAAGTTTTGAAAGCGAAAACAATGTAGTTTTTTTATATATATATATATATATATATATTTTTTAAGATCTGTATTATTAGTTGAGTATTATATCACAAGCTTCTATGCCATTTTAGACACCGTATTGTCAGTTCTTCTGTTTCTCTGATGAAAATAGATCAAAACAAAGCCAGAGCAGAGCATTTGTGTCACAGAGCAGTGTTGATGTTTTAAACTCGAGTTATTATGCTTTTGAATTTGAATCAATTAAGTAATCCATTCAGAAAGAGTCACTTCTTTTAGTTTCTAAATGAATCCGATATATGAATTTATGAGTTAAATGAATTTATAATGAGTTATATGAATCAATTTAGTTAGTCATTCAGTGAATCATTTAAAACTGTGACTTGCTGCCACCAAATGTGAGTTTTATCGTATTTTTTCACGTTGACAGCCCTAAAACAGCCAAGATATTGGCATAAAAACACACTTGACAAAATATTGTTTAAGTTATTAATCACATAATAACCTCTTGACTTTATCACGTATCCCTAATAATCAGCTATTCCTTTATGTTTTTTCAGATATGCCATCTTGACCAGAGAAACATGGCCTCAGTGGCGTGGAGATGAGAAACAGGGTGTCCTGCACCTTTTAAAATCTGTCAACATGGACTCAGATCAGTACCAGCTGGGCAAAACCAAAATCTTCATCAAGGCTCCAGAATCTGTATGTATTGTTCTTTTTGTGACCGATCGTATCACAGACGTGATTTAATGGTGTTTTCTTAGATATGAAAAGTAATAATGTGTTTTGTTTTCTGTGCATTTGACGCATGTTATCTTGTGTTGCCTGAGTAACTCCTTTTCTCAGGGGTGGCTCGGTTTATTTTAGTCAACAAAATGAGTTACTTTGCAGTTTGGCTACTTAAATGCATTCCTTTGGATTTGTGATAAAGATTAGAAGTAATACAGTCATGTTAGGTGAATATTAAGAATTTCTTTGGCTGGTTCAAATGGCTTTTCCTTTTGTTTGGTTGTTTTTACCCCCAAAAAGTGTATTGGTCAAATACTTATGATGCATGTGTTTTCATTTTTTGGTACATGAGCAAAACATGATATCATACATTTTAATATAATTTGCAGAAGATTTGAATGCTAAAGCATGTTCCCCTCGTGTTGGCGTGGGTTTCCTCTGGGTGCTCTGGTTTCCCTCACAGTTCAAAGACATGCGCTATAGGTGAATTGTGTAAGCTAAACCCAAGCTTACCGAGTTCCCCAGAGAAACCCAGAGAAAACCCACGTGAACATGGGGAGAACATGCAAACTCCACACAGAAATGGCAACTGACCCAGCTGGGGCTCACACCAAAAACCTTCTTGCTGTGAGGCAACAGTAGTATCCACTGAGCCACCGCGTTATTTGAAAAATGAAAGCAGACATTTTTGTTTGATTGTGTTTATATGCAAAAAGTTCAAATTTAAGCATTTGCATGTTTAATTTAATACAGACACCAAAATGCTGTCTTATCTTTGACTGCTATATATGGAATAGACAGTGTATGTACAACCCATTGTCTTGTGATGCACATCTGAAACTTGCTTGGTCGTTTTAAGGTTGAGCAGTTTGTTGATATTCTGAAATGTCAATCTTTAGTTGTTCCTGCTGGAGGAGATGAGGGAACGAAAATACAATGGATATGCTCGGGTTATTCAGCAAGCCTGGCGCAAACACATTGCTGTACGGAAGTATGTCCGTATGCGAGAGGAAGGTACGATTCATTCACGTTCTATATATATATATATTTTTTTTTATTATTGAAGCATAAAAACAAGTGCCAAAGTCCAAACTTCTTTTTCATTTCCAGTCAATAGAATATGTGTGGTATTGGGAATACCATCAAACGTGCTTCATGTGGCAGTGCTTCTGTTCTGATTTCAGCTTCTGACCTCCTGCTGAACAAGAAGGAGAGACGAAAGAACAGTCTGAACCGCAATTTCGTCGGAGATTACATCGGCACAGACAACCATCCGGAGATTCGGCAGTTTGTGGGTCGAAGGGAGAGAGTTGACTTCGCTGATGTGGTGGTCAAATACGATCGCAGATTTAAGGTACGACTCAAAACCCTTTTTTACAGCTAGTATTATGATCTAAGAGGATAATGCTTGTATAAGGGCTGTGTGATTAATTGAAATCAAATCGCAATTGTTGCAATAATCTAATTACAAGAGGCTGCAATATGAAATATATATGTATTATATAATTTCCCCCACCCAGAGCAAATGCGTGACTGCCGTCTCTGTGAGACTTGCTATCCAATTGAGTGAACACACTTTTGTTCTGCCCTATCAGAATTGCGTGACCGAACTATGCGGAAAGCCCACAATAAAACAGCAAACAGGAAAACGCGGACAAGTGGGATGATGGCATCTGCCTCTTCAGAAGCATTAATAGACTAATTCATATCAAGAAAAACAGGATGTTGGTAATATGGGAATATTTCGGTTTCAAAGTCACAGACACCAAACAAAACAGGTTATTTGTAAGAGCTGTCGGAGAATTGTTGCCACAGCATGAAGGAATACAACAAACAGCACCTAAAAAAGCACCGCAGGCGTGTCTTGCTAACAAGTAAACTAAAAGTATTGCCAATGACACTCAATCTAGTAGCTAGCAACTGCAAAGTACAATTGCAGAGTTGTTTGCGGCTGTTGCACCATATGAAAAAACATCACGAAGGCACCAGGAGATAACTAACGCCATAACTCACTACTGTTTGCTCTAGAGAAAAATGAGTGTTTAATTTCTGAATATTTATAAACAAATTTGAATAGAAGTTGAAGTTGTTTAATATCCTTTCAGTTCCTTTTTAACTAACACACTGCATTTTAGCAGTAAAGAGCTACGATATATTGAGCTGAAGCTTGACTACAAAATTAACTTGCAAATCAAATCGAAATCACAGTATCTGTTAAAAAAAAATCGCAATTAGATATTTTTCCCAAATCGCACAGCCCTAGCTAATATGTTCGGATGCATTGAGACAGACACAAAAAAGCGCCAAATCTTAGTGTTGGGGCTAATGCATTACGAGTTACTCAGTCAATTTTTGCTTGTGTATGTCATTGATTTTTAACCTTGTGACTACACAAAGAGCTCTAATTTGAGTGTGCACATCAACGCACAAAAATGCCATTTGACACAAAAGCATAATTTAAAAAAAAAACCTTGAACTTGTTTATATTTTTATTAGATTTCTTGGTGTGCTGCATTAAAAAGAACTAGTCAACCAATGAGATTTTGCCGTGGCTTGAGCTGCTTAAATGACAGCAAAACATTTGGTGACACTCGAGCACAAAATGATCTAGCGGAGCACACAGGAATTACACATCAATAAGGATTCAATAGTGTTTCATTTTGCGTTTTTTCTCTGCAAACCTTTGGCCAGGTGTTTGTGTGCTGTAGTGGAGAAGGTTGGGGCTAATGATTAAGGCGGGTTATTAATTCTGACTTCAACTGTATTTATTCAACTCACTTGCTCAAAAACAGATTCACTATTCCCAATATGATAAAAAAAACATTCATTGTTAAATGCGATCTCAGAATATTCACTGCTGTGTGTGTGTGTGTGTGTGTGTGCGTGCGTGCGTGCGTGCGTGCGTGCGTGCGTGCGTGCGTGCGTGCGTGCGTGCGTGCGTGCGTGCGTGCGTGCGTGCGTGCGTGCGTGTGTATACAGTATATACTTCCATCAAGAGTAAGCAAACAACATTGTTATAAAACTAGGCAAAGTCTTATGGATTTTACATGATGCCTTTTTAAAACTGCTTCTGGTCATATTCCTATGGAATAAACTTCCTGCGGATATTAAAGGTCTTAAAATGTGGTTGGTTTTAGTTTAAAATCTAAAATCTGACTCTTATGCAGAATAGTATGTTGATGGATTTTACAGTATGTTTTACTGACTATTTGTGATTATTTTTACAATGTAGTGTCACATTCTACTTGTTACCGGGGGTAGTGTAATCTGTACTTTACATCAAGGACCACAATGGAAATGTATTGTTTGTAAAACTTTATTGTGTATAAGCTTGACAATTTAAGTGTATTCTTGTTTTTTTTTTTTTTTTTTTGTCAAATAAAAAAAGAGGAAAAAAGAAAAGAAAACACATTTTAAAACGCAGTAAACATATTTACTATTTTTAAAAAGTAATGCAAGATTGTTTGTAGTGCATTACTTCTAAAAGCAGCTTTTCCAGCATTGGTTGTATAAAAGCACATCCTAAGGCTTGTACATCACTTCCTTAGTAACATATTAGAAGTGTTTTGGGCTAGCTGCTCACAAACAAATCTTTTGTTCTGCACATGTAGTTCATCTGAAGTATTTCATGTGACCACACACTGTGTCAACACCCACAGAGCGTCAAGCGGGACCTTATTCTCACCCCTAAGTTCCTCTATCTGATTGGACGCGAGAAGGTGAAGCAGGGTCCTGAGAAAGGCCAGATTCGTGAGGTCTTGAAGAGGAAGATCGAGGTGGAGAAGATCCAGTCGGTCTCTCTGAGGTATTTCATCATGCACTATGTATGAACACCTTTTGGACTAGGACGTTTGCACTACATTAATGCTTCAGAATGATTAATAAATCATGCATTTGCTAAGCAGAATGTAAAATTGAAACGTGTTTAATACCCTCAAGCTGTCATCATTTGTAGATGCATGTATGTTTTTAAGAAAAATATGTAAACAGAGAAAGAAATCACAAGAGTGTGAAAGCCACATGTTTTAATTTCATTCCCCACCACATTTAATTTTTTATACTAAATAGTAGTCAAAACATACAGAGTAGTTGTAAATATACACTTCCTGACAAAAGTCTTGTCATTGATCCCTGTTGTAAGAACAACGAATAATAACTTGACTTCTAGTTGATCATTTGGAAAGTGAGAGAAGGTTGATTTTTCCAATGAATCATCTGTTGAACTGCATCCCAATCATCACAAATACTGCAGAAGACCTATTGGAACCTGCATGGACCCAAGATTCTCAGAGAAATCAGTCAAGTTTGGTTAAGGAAAAATCATGGTTCGGGGTTACGTTCAGTATGGGGCATGTGAGGGATCTGTAGTAGATGGCAATATCAACAACCTGAGGTATCAAGACTTTTGTGCTGCTCATTACAGTACGAACCACAGGAGAGAGCAAATTCTTCAGCAGGATAGCGCTCCTTCTCATACTTCAGCCTCCACATCAAAGTTCCTGAAAGCAAAGAATGTCAAGGTCAAGGTGCTCCAGGATTGGCCTGCCCAGTAACCAGACATAAACATTATTGAGCATGTCTAGAGTAGGATGAAGGAGGAGGCATTGAAGATGAATTCAAAGAATCTTGATAAACTCTGGGAGTTCTGCAAGAAAGATTAATAAAGTCATCTGGAATGGCAAAGAAATAAGTGATTGGAGTCATTGCAGAGATATTTGGATGCAGTCCTCCAAGCTCATGGGAGTCACACACAATATTAATTATTTTTCCACTGCACCATTTATATTCTATACTGTACATTATCTTTAAGTGACAGGACTTTTTCCTAAGCAAAGTCAGACCTCAGTGTCTTAATTAAATAATTAAAAATTCAAGACATTATCATATTTTATTGTGGTAAAATAATCGTAGTCTAGAGGCCTTTGCCTTTCATATAATCCACTTCTGATACCCAATGATCAACTAGGAGTCAAGTTATTATTTGTTGTTCCTAAAACTTGGATAGGCGACAAGACTTTCAGGTAGTTATAGTTAAAGTTAACATTAGATACATTCAGTGAATCTCTGCCGATGTTTAGCAAGTAACCAACAAATACTAAAGTCTGTCATTTGGCACGATCAAATGTGCATGTTCTTTGTGCATGTTTTGCTTGCTTTGACATCAATTCGCATATTTTCACTATAGATTATATACCATGTTTCATGTTTTAAGCTAAATTGTGTAATTTTCTGTGTAGCATATGGATGATGGGTGGATCAGTTGTTGTATTTTCCTGTTCTCAGCACACTACAGGATGACATCTTCATATTGCACGAGGATCAGTATGACAGTGTTCTGCAGTCTGTCTTTAAGACTGAATTCCTCAGTCTGCTGTATAAGCGGTTTGAGGAAAAAACTAAGAAAAAGCTCCCGCTGAAGTTCAACAACCTGTAAGCAATATTTCCTGTACCCTAAAATCATGTCATATGCTGTATAATAGAAGGATTATGAGCATGTTACTGCTTTTGTCATTTCTCTTTTCCCTCTCAGACTTGAATTTAAGGTGAAGAAAGGAGGATGGGGTCCGTTTGCATCTGCTGGCTCTCGACAGATCCAGTTTCAGATGGGTCAAGGGGACGATGCTGTTCTGAAGCCCAGTAGCAAGATTCTAACTGTCAGTATTGGGTCTGGTCTGCCTAAAAACACAAGTAAGTCGGTGTTGAAATGTCAGTACTGTATTTGGATTCCTAGCCCTTTACAGTTATGTAAATATTAAGTGCTGAGTAAATTCCTTAAAAGTAATTAATTACTTATTACGTCAGTATTTAAATAGTTTTTTTAATTACTACTGTATGTCTGAAATGTAATTGACTTATTAACTAATATTCTCCATGAATTTCAACACATAAAATAAATATAAATAAAGTAAATATTTAACTTTTATTAATTCTTTCAATTTAAGTCAAACTTGGCTTTATAAAAAATATACCTAAGCATTTTAATAACTACCACACCGTTCTTTAGTTAATATAATTATGCAGCAAAAAATGAAAAGTTAAACGTGTATCAAACATGAAACGTTTCTAAGTAATGACACCAAATGTCATACATACACTATATTTAATGTATATTGTACATTGACATTTTTCTATTATTCATTTTGGCGCATTACGCATGTGCAATTATCTGAGAAATGTAATTTTTAGTTAAAAACATAATCATTATGCAAAATATCTAAATTACAAATAACTCTGCTTTTCTGGATTTCTGCAATATATTCTCATTCAACTTGTATAAACTCGATTTATTGTTTGTTTTCAGCATGTGTAATCGTCTTTGCATATATTTCTATAACAAAAATGACTATTTCACTGCATTATGCTTTAAATATAAATGTATATTCTGAATTAAACAGAACTGTTTATGTGCAGTATTTAACTCAAGTACATATTAAAGTAAGTGACTGTAATTAAATGACATAAAATGCTTTATTTTTCAATAGATTAGATATTTACAGTAACTAGTTACTTTGTACCTATTGTAGGCTCGTCACTATTTTTCAAAATTTTGCAAACCATTTAGCATTTGTCTTTAGAAGTTTAGGATTGGTACAAAGAAAGCCTAAAGTGTGCTATTAAATTTTTATCTGTATGTTAAGGCATGTTTACATTTGAATGCACAGCTTTCACACTGTACTCCATTTGAATGTGTGCATGCATGAATGTAGGCAGGCAGTTGACGTTGCACATGTTTGTCTGCACTATTTTTCTTTAGGTGTTATAGCAACAAAGATCTTCAAAAGTTGCAGCTATTTTTTTTAAATCCCTGCAAAACATACACTTGCAAGCAGAAGCGTATATTGGTTTTGCTGTCTTCACTGGTTTGTTCCTTCTCAGACAGTCAAATTCTGAGAAAACGTGATGTTAGTTTTAGAAATTTATTAAGCAGCAATTGGTGTTGTAAAATCACAAATCAGATTTTATTCCACATTTTTTCCAATAGTCAAAAATAGAACCCATAAAACCTGACACGTGTAAATGAACACTTTCCAAACAAACAAAAAGATTATTGGCATTGGCTGTCAGCCAAGATAGGTTTTCAAAATAGCAGCTATTAGGCATAAAAAAATATGATGTCCTGAATACACTACACAAATAATGTTCTGATGCTAAAATTCATGTTAGATGCATCACATTCATACTCAGGACTGTAGCCAGAGGGGGTTCCGGTGGTTAGAAAGACCCATCTCCCACTGACAAAGGTCCAGAATTTGTCCCATGCATGAGCTCATTTGTCCTATTTTGACTGCTGAGCCATCATAAATTGTAAAAAATAACCCATAAAAGGCTTTAAGACCAAGCGGAATGTGAAGCGGTAAGTGAAGTCATCTTTCACCACTGACCTACAGTAGGACTATTGTTATTAAATAGAGAAAACATTTTACAAGGAACTTTTATTTTAAATCTTGGAAAGAAAAAAAATCACAAATAAAAAGTGTGAAGCACCAAAAGCAGATCATATTAAAATTAGTTTTAATTCTAATTTGGTTATTGTTAACCATTCATTTTTAAATGTACTTTTTTACTAGAGAGACCAGAAAAATTGTCAAGCTCTATATTATTGTATTTTTGGGGGGGGTTTTGTACTGAGGAAAGTTAAATGTAATGCTCAGTTTGGTGTTTGTCTAATTAATGACACAGTAGGGTATATGCCGAAGCATGCTAATAGGACTTTTAATTTGCCAGTAACCTGGGTTAATCGTTTCCGGTGAATTGTATGCCAATGCAAAATCGACGCGTTTAAGGTGTGTTTTCTTTAAAAATCATCGATCTCCACTGGCTGAATGATATCTGATTTAAAGTGGTTCTCAGATTGTACAAGAAGCACTGCATTAAATTACATTTCCCCCGCCATGTCTTTATAATATGAGCATTTATTTTATCCCAGTATATTCAATGGAGCTTCTGTGTTAGCCTGCCGATTCTGACGGGCGCGTGCGAGTAAACGGCTTTTTGTCTCGTTTTACACTTGAGCAACTAAATGAATGCCAAAGTCTGTTTAACTGATTGTATTTGAATTACATTACAACATCCTTGCTGTAAAAGGAACGGTATAAAATGAAAAAAAAATTCACAATAACAGGTCACCGGAAGTTTATCAGTATGGGAAACACATTAGTTTGGCATATACCCCATATGCTGCAGTTTTTAACTTAAAACTTTAGCAGATTAAATTTTTTCTAAATCTTAGGAAAAATGTTTAGAACATCAAAAAGTGGGGTTATGATGACCATCTGACAAGCTGATCCAGCTAAAGATAGTGCTTAAAATGCCACTAAAATGCAATATTTAAACCTTTTTCTGTTTTAAAATTAAATAGAAAATAAGGCTAGGCAAATAAATGTAAAAATGTCCAATTTTTAAAAAATAAAATAATAAAAAGAACTGCGCCTTTCACCAGGCTGGCTACGGGCCTGATACTCTTGAATACATGTAAAAAGCTGCACTTAATTAATGTTGTATTTATTTAATGCATTTATTTAAATATATTTTGAAATGTAATTCATGAGATTGCAAAGCTGAATTTTTTGTATCATCACTCTTCAGTGTCACATGATCTTCCATAAATGATTCTAATATGCTGATTTTGTGCTCATACAATATAAGATGAGTAATGTTTAGAAAAATGACACTTTATTTATGTGAAACTGATTTGATGTATAAATTTAAAGCTCAAAAGGGCAACATTTAGAAGTTATTTTTTAATACCACAATCATTATTTGTACAGGACCCACACGTCGGGACAACCGAAAGAGCAGCTTCATGGGCAACCAGAATCGCAGTGCAGGACAGTATTCACGGGGTAAGACCACAATTTTACATAATTCCTAGGAGTTGCTTGCTACTAAATATGCTATAAAAAATGTTTTAATTGTGTTTAATGTTCTCTGTTGTTTCAGAAGCTCCTAAGTCTGCTGGTCGAGGCAGAGGGCAGCCAGCCGTCAGACACTCTCTACTCCGCCAGCAGTCCACTATGGATCAGCCGACCCTTCCCAGACTCCAGGGATCCGTGCGCAGTCAGAGAGAGAGCCAGGTCTACACTGATATGGGCTTCATGAAGGTTCCTGATCAAGGCGTGGCCGGGTAAGATGACTGAAAGAGGCTCTGATCATTATGCTATAACAAAATTCATTTCCTCCAAGCAATATTTACTGTATGAAAAAAAAAAAACATGTTCAGCTGGAACTAGTCTACAAGGTCATGATGGGCGCTAATTGTAAATCAATTAAGATAATTGCTGCTATCAAATAGGGCTGCACGATATTGGAAAAATATGTCAATGGCATATTTTGTTTTGCTGCAATATATATATATTTACGATATATATATTGCGATTTTATTACAAAATTTTACCAGATGATTTGAATATATCTATTTGGAAAGATTTCATTAACTTAGATCGATGGTGATGATCAAGTCTTTTTCTATGCTGTGCATTTGCATAAATAACAAGCACAAACAGTGCTTTTTGGTTTTTTGGAGTTCAAGTACAGAAATTGAACAATAACGTGTAAAATAACATGGTCATCATTGTGTAAATAATAAAAAAGTTAAAAATATTGATTAACTTTCAAACTTGAATAAATAATCTAATCCAGCAATGCAATTATTGCAGATACACATTGCGATAGTGATGCTAAAAGGAACTATTGTTCAGGCCTAATGTCAAATCAGATTATTATAGTTTTGCGTATAGAATTTTTATCCATTAAGTTTTTTTAAAGTGCATAATTAAGAACTGTAAATATGGACTTTTTGTCATACTTAAACAGTTTAAACCATTTAATATGTTCATATTTATTTAATTATTTATTTATGTATGTTTTTTTATGTATTTTTGCATGCTAACTCTTTAAAATCCTGTTGGAACTTGCTTGCATAGATCAATGAATGGCATAATTCATTTTCATTATTCCCTAAAATGATTTACATTTTGCACCTGACAATAAAGTTATTACAATTTTACCACTCTTTTTAGTGATTTCAAAAAATAATGTATTTTTATATTTTATTTTTAATTTAATTTAATTTTTTGTTTTATTTTATTTTATTATTATTTTGTTTTGTTTATTTTTTATTTATTTATTTTTATTTTATTTAAGAGCCTTGCAGTCTTTTCAAAAGAAATATTTCCCTGTGTTTCCTCTCAGGATGCATCGCAGACGCTCAAAAGAGTACAAGCCTCTTCCAGGATCAGGACGTCCTAAACCCAGTCCCAAACCTGTACCCCGCACCCCACGGTGCAAAGCACTGTACACTTACGATGCTCAGGACACGGATGAGCTCAGCTTTCAACCAGATGATATCATAGAAATCCTAAGTGAAGGTAATCTATTTTCCTAACATTAAAAGTGAACTTCATACTGATTATATTGGGTTAGAGAATGCTGAACTGCTGTCTGTCTTTTTCAGACCCTTCAGGTTGGTGGCAAGGTCGTCTTCGAGGAAAGGAAGGCATGTTTCCTGGCAACTATGTGGAGAAGATGTAAACTGGCATGCTATTGGACAAAATGTGATTCATAGCAGAAATTAGATCAAGAACAAAGCATCAGCTTTAAAACAGATCAAATCCCCCAGTGCGTGGAGGTTTTCTGCAGAAGATATATTAGCAGCTCTAATGAAAAAATACTTTTAGACCGACAAACCTATAGAAATCAAATGAGCTTTTATGTGATTTATTTTTAATAGAAAGAAATATTATGTAGAAGACCATTTATAATGCTGTTTCAATGTGTTACCCCTTAAAAAACACTAGATTATTTTAAATGTCTTTGGAGAAAAGAATGAGTACATAAACATTTTAATGTACTGTATTTTACTGAAGTTGTATTTTTAAAGATCCAATTTCTACTTTTTGTACCGATACTGTGCCGTTGTGTAAATCAGAAAAGGCTGTTTTCATATACACAGAAAGACAAATAAAACATTATTTGTTTAATTTACATTACAAGCGTCGTGGATGCTGTTCATTAATTTTGCTAGCAACTTTTCCACATGTGTAGTGAGACAGGATGAGAAGGGACAAATTGAAAAGTTCTTAATTATTTGCAGCTACATTGAAGTTGTGAGCTGCTTCCTGGTTCAAAATAATCTAATGTTAATTTGCAACCATTTTACATTTTGACAAATTGGTTACCAATTCCTGTGAATTTTATCTCATTTGTATGTTTTTGTTTGATCTAGGAGCTGGGCACTTTATAAACTGCTGAGACTAGTCTTAAAGATTTATCTTTTTTTTTTCAATACTGGTTCATAACTTTTGATACTTATTCATTAAAAATGCATGACTCCATTCTTAATCTAATTTTAACCCATTGGTTTACTGCTGGATAGTCTAAATTGCTGAACATAAAATCATGTTTTAGGTTGAATTTCGCACAATGAGAGCTGTATAAATTCAATGTAATCTTTCTTGTTTAATCAGGAAGGCTAGATAGAGGTAAAGTTGGTTTTATATTCAGATAATCAGACATTCTCCTTAATAATATAATTTCAGGAAAGTATTATTTGCAAATTCTAAGTAGGGAAATCATATTAGCAGCAAATGACAATCAAAGTACAACATTGTTCACAGTGAATTAGATAGTGTTAATGTTGTTTTAAAATCATACTTGCGTGCTAAATCCAATCGAATAATCAAAGTACCATGGTAAACAATATAGGGACTTCTAAATGAACGAATGTGCAAATATAAAACCAAATTTACCTCTATGTAGGCCAGTAAGTTGCATGTTTATTTAGGGAGCAGGAGTTAAGTTTAGTTAGCATTAAATTAGCCATTAACCTGTAAATTGGAGGACAAGTCTTCAAATTTAGTTTTTTTTTTTTTCCTTTGAACAGAAATATTGTCAATTTTGGATGAAAAATGTATGGGGAAAAAAAAAAAAAAAAAAATATATATATATATATATATATATATATATATATATATATATATATATATATATATATATATATATATATATATATATAGCCTTTATCTACACACAGATCAGTAGTCTTGTGGAAGTTGGCCAACATGCACTACAACTCTCAAAACTCCACAGAACTACATTTACCGTCTGGTCATGTGACGTCAGGACGTAACTCGATGAGATACGTCTACGCTCTCGCACAGCTCTGGATTCATAACTTGCACATAGTGAAGCGCTGAGGTCCTCTACACATTTCGGTACACTGAAGGGCATTTTTAAACTCTTTAGGATATTCCGCAACGTGAAACCCCTCGTGCTCCGTGTAACAATGGAGGCGTATTTACGGAGCTGTCGTGATGTGCTGAAGGTAAGATTGAGCTAATACTGTTTGCTTAAACAGTTACGCGTGGTTTGTTGTCTTCTACCATATTAGCCACTTAAAATGTGGCCAGTAACCAGTCGTTTAGTGTCGTGACATTCAGACACTTGAGTGTGCTTGTCGTATGTGATAGTTTGGTGTTGTAAATAATGTATGCTTTGTTTAATGTACACTTGATATTGACTTAAGTCATATGGTATGACGCGCGTGCACGGACCCTGGCCGCATGCGCTATTGACAGAGAGACCACTGCGAGAAACCACATATGTTTGTTTACGTTTATCATCTATATTTGAACAAAAGGTTTGATAGTGATTTGTTTTTACATTGACTACACCTATAAATATTACAACAGTGTAACTTTGACGTAATGCAATGCTCTGTTAACTTATGGTGCTAACTAGTATAATTATATGTAAATGTGATTATTAATTATGCATATTCACACACATATTCAGTACAATTGAGTTCAATCCAAAATAGTTCAATACAACACATTATAATTACGCATTTTTGCCACACGTAGTCTAAAAGTTTTCATATTTCTATGTGCATAATTGTGTTTTATATATTCTATATGCATTTTGTAAGTTTGTGTATTTGGAGTTTAAAAATGACTTGGCAGTTCTCATTTCATATTCGTCACTCTTTTTATGCTAAACTAATGATTTCTTCTACATTTAAAGTTAAAGGTTCGTCATTTAGAGAATTAAATGACCTAATTATTCCATGTTTTTAAACATGTTTAGATTCCTTTACAGACAAAAATGAATGTTTTCTTTTCAGAAGTAATAAAAGCAGTATATGGAGTAACCTATTGCTTTTTCACTGACAACAACTGAAAACATGTTTTAATCAATTGCAGTTTTCTGCTAAATGTAACTAGACAAATAACTAAAAGTGCTCTAAATGACAATATTTTAAATTAAAATTAGTAAGAAATCTATCAGACTTTTAGAGAATAAAAATAAATATTAACTCCTTTTCTCAATTTAGTTTTATAGTTTGTCTTCAATCTAGTTTTTTGCAACCTAGTAAATCCAGTACGTCCAGATTCATGCATGTACACTAGGCATGGCATGATAACCCGTTTCAAGGTATACCGTAGTTTGGAAAAGTTTAGGTTTTAAAACCCAGAAAGTTTTCGTTATACTGTACTTAAGGTATATATTTTTTTGTCTGTTTAGTTTTTTTTTCACTATTTTCCCAACTGTTTTATTTAGTTTTTTTTTTTTTATTGACCGAACTGCAGTCTTAGTATGTCTGTTATTTCTATTTATGATGTAAAGCCTATAATTCTAGCCAAGGCTATGTATGAGCAAGTCTTACCATTGATTTATATATGGCGAACATGTTTGTGGGTGTCACCACTCATAATTAAAGTGCACCTTTCGCTTATAATACCTATTGCTCATCGTCATCAATTAAAATAAGAACACATGACAGCTGAGCAGGACTCTGCAAAATAATCCCTGAAACTGACCAATGTGAGGAGACTTTACTAGCAAGTAACAATTTAACAATTTTAATCACTTTTTCAGAACAAAACAAATGATTTACAGGTGTGAAAGCACCCATAACAGAACTTATTTAGCTGCAGTAATCACAATACCATGATACCTTGATATTTTTATCCAAGGTTATCATACCGTCAGAATCTTATATTGGCCCAGAATCTTATACTAGCGGTCAACAGTTTTAGAATTAAGTTTTAATTTTTTTTTTTTTTTTTCAGATGTCTCTTCTGCTCACCAAGCCTGCATTTATTTTGTCCAAACTACAACAAGAATAGAGTAACAATAAGCAAATGTATTTTGCAGAATAATTCTGTTTTTCAGCTAAAGGTTACGTTTATCAAGACAACGAACATGCTTAAGAAACAATGGATTGAGTCTGTAATAATGAGAGTATAGGATATCCGTTTATGAAATATGGTGTAATTACTTTGAAATTTGTGAATAAACTCATAAAATCTTGGAGTCTGTATCATGAGTGATGATACAGACAATTCATCTTAGACTTTTAGTACGACTATTTAAATATAACTGTAATTTATTCCTGTCATTTAAAAGCTGAATTTTAGCATCATTACTCAAGTCACGTGATGCTTCAAAAATCATACAGAATAATATTCTAATATTAAAATAATAATCTTGCTGCTAGGCTGTTTTCAATATAATAATTAAAAAAATGTAAGATGAATTTCTTTCTTTGATGAATACGTTCAGAAGGAGAGCATTTACCTGAAGTTACATCTTTTATGATATTTAACTGCTAAAAATTTAGCTTTTAAATGACAGGAATAAATTACAGTTATATTTAAACAGTTGTACTAAAAATCTAAGATGAATTGTCTGCATCATCACTCATGACACATACTTCAAGCATTTTTTATTCAAAAATTTCTAACTAACTACAACACATTTCATAAACGGATATCCTATACTCGCATTCATTTCTGACTCAATCCATTGTTTCTTAAGCATGTTCAGTCGTCTTGATAAATGTATCCTTTAGCTGAAAAATCTAATTATTCTGCAAAATATATTTGTTTATTGTTACTCTCCTTCTCTGAATCTATTATGAACAGTTGAATTTATTTCAGGTATTTAAGGCAAGAACTTTTGCAGAACTATTACACCCAACTCTATTTTCCACTTTGCAATTGTGCAAATTTGATCACACTTAACATGTTTTTTTTTTCCTTGATAAATTTATTAAATTTAGCCCTTTAAATGCTTTTGCAGGTCCATAACTGAACGTTTTTTTATAGATACTTTGTTTAGTCAAAAATAGTGGTTCCCACTTTTCTAGTTTTACAGCTTCATGCGCTCAGTTTCATGACACAAGTTGTCTGTATTTGCAGAGACAATAACACCTGCTGCCTGTCCGGCTCATACAATCCTATCCACATCTGCCCAACAGCAGTGCATCTCTCAACCCCAAACACTGTTGTTTTAAACCCAAACACTTGCGCTCTCCGACTGCTAACCACCTAATATCAATCCCTGTGTTTACTTTGAGTCTCTCAGCTCACAGAAGCGAGCAAAGATGGTTTCTTTAACCAATTCAGTCAATGATTAAAGAAAATATACGGTTTCACTTGTGGTTAAAGTGCTTTTTTTCCGCACTGAAGCGTGAGGTTGCAAATATAGAGACACTTTCCACGGTTTTTGTACTGTTTACTCACCATCGCGTGGTCCATTTCACATCACGGTGACTAATAAGCAAGTTCTCAGAATAAGCATGTTTTTTTTTCCTTCACTTCCCCATCAAACTGAGATTTTTTGGTGATGTTTATCACATGAGAGAGACGGAGCTTTGCCAAAATTTCGCCCTAAACAAGCCTGTCCCGGGTTTGTGCCAGCTGTGAGCTCAGTCTGTCTGTGTTGACAGTCTGTCGTTCAGCATTTCAAACAAACCCCAGCTGTTTGCCCAGATCAGAGTACATCATTTAATGCTGACGTCACTGATGGCTGCTGCTGTATTCGGCTGGAGTAATGGAGCGAGCCGAATGCTAATTAACATCATCATGGGGAGAGATAAAAGGATTTATTTAATCTAGGGTGATGTATTCGGTGTTATTCTATTAGAAGTGCTCTTCATTTCTCAAGTAGGGTTTAATATAGGCTCTTGAAATCTCTTTTTT